CTCACTAACTCTTTCCCTGACTAACTGTTTCTTTGATAACTCTTTCTTTGACTAACTGTTTCTTTGCTAACTCTTTCCCTCACTAACTCTTTCTTTGACTAACTCTTTCCCTGACTAACTGTTTCTTTGACTACCTCTTTGTTTGACTAACTCTTTCCCTCACTAACTCTTTCTTTGACTAACTCTTTCCCTGACTAACTGTTTCTTTGACTAACTCTTTGTTTGACTAACTCTTTCTTTTGACTAACTCTTTCCCTGACTAACTGTTTCTTTGACTACCTCTTTGTTTGACTAACTCTTTCCCTCACTAACTCTTTCTTTGACTAACTCTTTCCCTGACATTCTAAAAGTCCGTAACACGGAAGTTTCTCCCCCTAAACTTCCTTTGATCATTCACTTTCTCACTCAAACCTCCGTCTCCCTCCTTGTGCCAGCTTGTTGTCACTGTGGGCACCAACGGACCTGGATCTCACAGCAAGTGCCAGAAGCTCATGGCGAACTCCACGGCAGTCTGGGCACACATGGAGCCGGAGACTATAGGGAGCTCCGGCTCAATCCGGACCCGAAGCCTATCGCGAGCACCCTGTTGCGAGCTTCAGATCGATTTGGGCACACCTGGACCCGAACCCTATGGCGAGCTCCAGATCAGTGGGCACGCATGGACCCGAGCACATGCCAGAAAGAATGCCAGAATAGATGCCAAATAGAATGTCACAAAGAATGCCAGATAGAACGACAGAATGTATGCCAGGTAGAATGTCAGAAAGCATGCCGGATAGAATGTCAGGTAGAGTGGCCAGATCAAATGTGAGATGGAATGCCGGATTGTTAGAACATATGTCAAATAGAATGCCAGAAAGGATGCCAGATAGAATGTCGAGTAGAAAAATGCCAGATAGAATGTCGAATGTCAGTAAATGTAGATGATGCAGTTAAAAATGTCAGCTCAAGTGCCAGAAAGAACGTCCGATTAATCGTCAATCAGAATGCCACATAAAATGCCGGACAGAATGCCAGATAGAATGTCGCATAGAATGCCAGAGAGACTGTCAGATATAATGTCAGAATATATGTGAGATAGAATGTTAGTTGGTGGGGATCACTCGAACGTGCTTTCAGTATTGAGGATTCCCTTCCTGAAATCAAACATTCTATATGTATGTATATGCATATGTATATATATATATATATGTATATATATGTATATATATATATGTATATATATATAAGTCATTCTCCTAGCATTCAGATGTTGTCTCATTACATTCAGGTGTTAAGTTCGGTTTGACTCAGCAGCAAAGCAACTGCATGCACTTTTTCCCTTGAATTTTGCAACACAGTCGTGATCTGGATTTTGCATTCTACTGTTTGAAAGGCTGAGCAAGGTTGCACAATGTAAATGTAATTTTCAATCAAATTGATGTTTTTTTGGTTATATTGCATTGGTACTGTGTGTTTGCGCTACGATTCGAATACTTGGATGGTGTTGGCTTGTTTGCAATGGTTACTGCCAGCCTCAAGCCACAAAACTTGCAAACAATGACGCTTATCACGCAACATAAACCAATAGAAAGATCAACTGACATGGTTTTCATGACCAAAACATCTCAAATTCAAGCTTGGCTGAACGATTTTTACATGGAAAACCTGTATGGGCAGCACATGACTTCAAAGCATGTTCATGCACGGCGGCGTCCCGGCGTCCCGGCACCCGTGATGATAAAACGCAAGCCAATCTTGCACCACCCTTGGCGCAGCGAACAATTTGGCACAGTCGTATCAGTAAATCAAAATCAGACTTAGTAGCACATAATTCGGGTTCCTAGGGGGTCCGTTTGCTTCATGATGTTCTTGCTGCTGTTTTCCGGTGAAGATCAAACACCTTTGGATTGGCGGTTCTTCTGCCAGTCAAATTGCGGCTATTTCGTGAACCAATTTGCAAAATCGTTTGCTTTGAACAGTGTGTTTGTTTGGAAAGCGGCCAGTGTGTAGTCTATCTTGTGAGGCTGGATCCCAGTCTTGTGGTGGGAAGGCTGTGAGGTTGGGTACCACTTCGTGTAGGTTTCCAGCCTGAGGGACTGCAAATTGTACCCTACAAACATGGGCTTCAACCCACGGGGGATGGCAAAATGATATTGTGGCAAAACAATATTTTGGCAAAATCATATCTTGGGATACACACTGGACTCTTTCCAAACAAACACACTGTTCAAAGCAAACGATTTTGCAAATTGGTTCACGAAATAGCCGCAATTTGACTGGCAGAAGAACCGCCAATCCAAAGGTGTTTGATCTTCACCGGAAAACAGCAGCAAGAACATCATGAAGCAAACGGACCCCCTAGGAACCCGAATTATGTGCTACTAAGTCTGATTTTGATTTACTGATACGACTGTGCCAAATTGTTCGCTGCGCCAAGGGTGGTGCAAGATTGGCTTGCGTTTTATCATCACGGGTGCCGGGACGCCGGGACGCCGCCGTGCATGAACATGCTTTGAAGTCATGCGCTGCCCATACAGGTTTTCCATGTAAAAATCGTTCAGCCAAGCTTGAATTTGAGATGTTTTGGTCATGAAAACCATGTCAGTTGATCTTTCTATCGGTTTATGTTGCGTGATAAGCGTCATTGTTCGCAAGTGTTGTTGTTTGAGGCTGGCAGTACCACGTCCAAACAAGCGCAATTATCCCAAGTGTTGCACAGACACACAGTACCAACCGGGAAAAAACACATCGGTGGCATCTATTTGATTGATCGTTTTCTTTTTACATAGTGCTCCTGTGTTTAACCTCAAACAGTAGGAGCGCAAAATCCAAAACATGATTGCGTGCAGTTGCCCTGCTGCAGACATAACACCTGAAAGCAATGAGACAACACCTGAATGCCAGGAAAATGACCTACTTATATATATATATATATAGTTTTTTGTAAATCCCTGGTGAAACGGGTCTTGACATAACGGCGCTATGGGACGATGCAAAGCAACCGTCTTCCCATGCCAGGTCGATCTTGGTGACGAGGCGTGCCTCTTCGGCCGCTTGGGCCCCCCCATGGCGAAGAGGCAGGAACAAACGAAGCGGGGCCCAAAAGACCAAAGCGGAACCCGAACATCCGCATGACAAATCGACAGATTGACTGTTTCGACAATTGTTCAAGTTAGGGAATCAGGACGAACAGAGCTGTAGGAATCTTTCACAAAATGGATAGACATGAATGGAAATGGTATAGAGTGGGGAATGTTGAATTGTAATTCTTGTTGTTTGGAGACATTAATATAGTGATCCGAAATCTGGTTCATGGCCTTTTGCATGATAACAGGATGTCCCCCAGCTCATGCAGAATTTGGTCCTTCGTTGCAAATGAAACAACATCATGGTTGCATTCAGCTAGATCCGTGCGGCCCAACCGACATCCAACCGACATCCTGGTTGGTGCTCAATTTGGTGCTGCTCCTTGCAGGAGAAGGTCGAATCGACTTCCTGGCTCGATGCAAAGCCGTTGCTTAAGGAGGACACAGCCGGTGATTTATGACATGATAGACATATCAATATTATCAATATTATCAATATTATCAATATTATCAATATTGTCAATATTATCAATATTATCTACATAATATATGCTGAATATATGTTTCTTCCTGGTCTATAATAGTTTTATGACCATTAAAATGATGCCGACCACATTTGGCAACCACTTCAAAGATTGCCTTGTTGGGACGCTCAATGAATAATGTCCCGGACACCAGCGATGGCCAAACCTTCTAGTCCACCTTGTCAGGAGACGAGGAGCCTCTCTTCCAACAGCTTGGCAAGTTTTGACCACTACACACCTAAGATGCTTTCTATTTGAGGCAGCCGTTATGAAGCCAAGGGCTTGCAACAAATGCTCCAAAAAGACAATTTTCTTTGCATTGCATAGGGGAAAGCCAGAGACGGACAGTTCGCGCAAAACAGTGTGGCAAGATTGGCTTGCATCAAGTGACTACCTATAGACTTGATTGTTGCAGCATGAAACATGGCTAGTTCAATCTTTGAGATCGCCAGTGGTCTTTGGTTTCCCAGTTTTCTTCAGTTTCTTTCTCTAGCCAATGCGCGAGATCGAAAGTCAACAGATTGGGCACTTCTCTGTTCCTGACTCCAAAATGGATTAATTTGGCTTGGGCCTGCAAAACACCTTTCGTCCATGGAGAATCTTTGGAGATCTTTGGAGCGTAAGGAGTTTTGGATTCATGTTTTGAGCAGGTTCACGCCACTTGAATTCGGTAGAGTTTGTAAGTCAGGCCATTGTACGTCAAGCGAGACGTGCAAGAGACGCGTTTCTAGCTTGACTACAGCCATGCCGGCTATGCTCTGTTCTCACATTTGGCAGAGCTCAATGCACGCCTCCATTTACTACAATTCCATCCCGAATTGACACCGAACCCAAGGAGCTTGTTCAACAATCATCCGCACTTGGATCAACATGCATCGCAAGTGTGCGTTTTATAGCTGTCCTTCCATTCGCATGAAACATTCACTTTTCGCGAAAGGAATTCTGATGGTGGAAGGATGGGGAATGAGGAATGCGATCGGATGGGTTGTTTACCGGTTGCTTGCCAGAGTTGGAACTAGCTATCAAGCATGATCCATGATCTGGCTTAGTCTCCTGAGCCTCTTGGCACAAAAGCTTTTGGGCCCGGTCACAGCTGCAGGTAACCTTTCTGAATCTTTGTGATCACGATTCTCTTAGCATTGCGAACTGGTCAAACTGGTTCCAAAATGTTCCCCGCAAGGGTCTTCCTGAAATTGTCCCAGCTGGGGAAAGAGAATCGTCCAGACATTTGAACAGAGAGAAATCATTGAACATGTCAGACAGTGTGGGCTAGGTACTTACAATATCTTACTAGTCAATCGACCGATTGAATACATAAATGGAAAAATACAGATTGACAGTACCTGTTGTTAAGTTAATTGAGTCAAAAGGCAAATGCTAAAGTTTGTGACGGGTGCTTTGTCGACTGATGTCGACTTGCCTGGATTGTGACTCCTGCGGCCATGAATTCTTAGAAACTTGGACTATTCCTGAGTTCAAATTGCTTGGAGAACGGGGCCTTGTGGTGGGCACAGCGCTGGTGTCAGTGGGTCTTTTTCAGTCCCCCTAAGGCGGATTTCTAGTTATGTATGCATGCACAATTATTTAATATTTTTGATATGTTATATAATATATTATTCATATATATTATTTATATAATATAATATCTATAATATACATTATACAAATTATATATATTATATAATATTATATATGTTATATATATATTATCTTTATTTTCTACAAGATATTCAAGCGAAACAGTGTAGTCACCATAAGTGAATAGTGTTTTGCCTGTCAATTGTTTTTGCGGGCAACCATTTTCTTGCATTGTTGGTATGTTTGACATGTGCATGGATTTCACGATGGGATTCACTTGTATGGTGCATTACCTGGTACACGTACTTACATCCAGCCGATATTATTGGATCTTCCGGTTCTAAGTACGAGACCTGGCGGTCATGTCTCAATTGTCCGTCATTTGACCACGCACACACGTATATTATATATATACACATAGATACGTATACCAGGAATACCGCACAAGGCGGGCGGAAGTTTCAAAGATAGGACACTATAGGATAGGTGAGTTGTTGTGAGGTATGGATGGCAGAGCAAATCCACTGATGGACCGAAAGGTGGTTGCGGTTGTGTTTTTTGGAGTGGCCGCAGTGGTTGCAGCAGTCACCTCACCCACAACTGCTGGATGTGGTGTGATGTAGTGCAGTTGTAGTTGCAGTTGTAGTGTAGTGGAGTTGTAGTTGTAGTGTAATGTAATTGGTGTAGTGTAGTTGTAGTTGCAGTTGAAGTTGTGGTCTGGTGTAATTAGCGTAGTGTAATGTAATGTAGTGTACTGTTGTGTTTTTTGCTGTAGCGTAGTATTGTGTAGTGTAGTCTAGTGTAGTGTAGTGTAGCGGAGTTGTAGTTGTAGTGTAGTGTAGTGTAGTGTAGATAGTTAGTTAGTGTAGCGTAATGTGATGTAGTTGTAGTTGTAGTTGTAGTTGTAGTTGTAACAGCGCAGTGTAGCGTAACGTGATGTAATGCAATGTTGTTGTAGTGGTCGCTGTAGTTGTAGTTGCAGTCGCAGTTCAAGTTGTAGTGTAGTGTAATCAGTGCAGTGTAGTGTAATGTACTGGAGTTGTAGTTGTAGTTGTACCTGTAGCTGTATGTTTTTTTGATTATTATTAGTGCCAGTAGTACTAGTAGTACTAGTAGTACTAGTAGTACTAGTAGTAGTAGTAGTAGTAGTAGTAAGAAGTAGTAGTAGTAGTAGTAGTAGTAATAGTAGTAGTAGTAGTAGCAGCAGTAGTAGTAGTAGTCGTAGTAGTAGTAATAGTAGTAGTAGTAGTAGTCGTAGTAGTAGTTGTAGTAGTAGTAGTAGTCGTAGTAGTCGTAGTAGTCGTAGTAGTCGTTGTAGTAGTAGTAGTAGTAGGAGGTAGAGTAGTAGTAGTAGTAGTAGCAGTAGTAGTAGTAGTAGTAGTACTAGTAGTAGTAGTAGTAGTAGGAGTAGGAGTAGGAGTAGGAGTAGTAGGAGTAGTAGTAGGAGGAGTAGTAGTAGGAGTAGTAGTAGGAGTAGTAGTAGTAGTAGGAGTAGTAGGAGTAGTAGGAGTAGTAGGAGTAGTAGGAGTAGTAGGAGTAGTAGGAGTAGTAGGAGTAGTAGGAGTAGTAGTAGTAGTAGCAGTAGTAGTAGGAGTAGTAGTAGGAGTAGTAGTAGGAGTAGTAGTAGGAGTAGTAGGAGTAGTAGGAGTAGTAGTAGTAGTAGGAGTAGGAGTAGTAGTAGTAGTAGGAGTAGTAGTAGTAGTAGGAGGTAGAGTAGTAGTAGTAGTAGTAGTAGTAGGAGTAGGAGTAGGAGTAGGAGTAGTAGGAGTAGTGGGAGTAGTAGGGGTAGTAGGCGGAGGGGGAGGAGGAGTAGTAGTAGGAGTAGTAGGAGAAGCAGGAGAAGTAGGAGAAGTAGGAGAAGTAGGAGAAGTAGGAGTAGTAGTAGTAGTAGGAGGAGTAGTAGTAGTAGTAGTAGTGTAGATGTACGTTTAGATATACATATAGGTATTTGTAAATATACATACAGATATTGTATAGATGTATCTTATATATTCACCTACACATACATACATGCGCATGAAATCACAAGACACACATACACATATATATATATACATATGTTATGAACATGAATTGACACATATGTATATGTACATATACGCGCATATATATATATATTTACATAGACATATAGATACACATATATATATACGCATAGAGATTTACATATAGATATACATATAGATTTTCATTGAGATATACATTTAGATGTACATATAGATGTACGTTTAGATATAGGTATTTGTAGATATACATATAATTAGATATTGTATAGATGTATCTTATATATTCACATACACATACATACATGTGCATGAAATCACAAGGCACACATACATATGTATATATATATACATGTTATGAACATGAATTGACATATATGTATATGTACATACACGCGCATATATATATATACACGTAGAGAGATAGGATATTTGTCCATTCTAATTTCTTACGATTTCTGATTTCCAATATCGTTAGTTGTAGCCCCATGTTTGCAATTGATAAAACCATTTCTCCTGCAAAAATGCTCGCTAATTCTTCTCGCTTGGCTGTTTTTGGGCGGTAGCAAGGGTGCAGGTCATGATTGGGACTAGGGCCTAGGGCAATGATAGTTGAGTGTCGATACTGTAACGAATCCGGCACCTTTTGGGTGGGGTGTGGTGCGGCTACAGCTACATGTGGAACCATACCAGCGTTTCAGTTTTTGACACGTTAAATCCAAAAGATCCGCAAACCTGTACATTGACATGTTTTTGACAAAGTTGTGACACATTGTGACACATTGTTAGACATGGAGATCCCATAATGTCACAATGTGTCACAACTTTGTCAAACTGGGGGGTGGTGGGCGTGGTTGCCAAATGACCTGCAGAGTTGTCGGCCGGCCATGGCCCTTGGAGGCTCCAGACACCTTGGACGCTTTGAACAACTTGGGCTCTGCATGGAAGGCGCCGCCGGCCGGCAGAGAACTTTAAAACTAAATATGAAAGATAGAACTGACACCGAACTGATAACCAAGAGCCAACGAGCAGCAATAAACAATATATCATCACCCTCAGAAAACGACCAGTGGTGGCAACTGGTGAATAGGTTGTGTAGATGGACTTCGTTGGTCACAAGTTTCTGCCCAGTTAGGTTGATTGGTGCTCCCATGTCGGTCCTTTGATCAGATTGATTCATGGGTGACGACTTTGAACCGAACTGCCCCTATGCTTGGGCAGATGATCCAATTGAAAGAGGATTCAGTAGCCAGTAGTGGAGACGGAACCGCAATAGCAAACACTCTCGGTGAGAGTTCCGAGAGTTCAAGGGCTGAAATACCTAGATCCAAACATTTCACTTATTCACTTATCACATCAGCAGGAGGATGTCAGATGTACTTTTTGTGGCTGGCCTCCTGTGGCATTCCTTTCCGCCAATGTGAGTAGAAGTCAACCTTCGAGACTCAAACATCCACAGATTGTTGCAAAGAGTCATGAATTTCTACTGCAAAAAATTGTAAGTTCTTTGAATCTATAATTTTGACCCGAACCAATTAATTAAATACATTGAAACGTGTTGCTACCTTCCAAACTTTGCAGCTTCCATTGCTTCAACAGTCGATACATACTGTTTGTTCTTGCTGATGCCCCCAGTGTGAAAATGTAAGCCGAAGATAGCGACTTGGAATGCTGAATGCATTCTGAGGACATTTGCCAGCTCCAAGTTGCGTTGAGGGGCCTTGTTGCTTTCACATTGCTATTGTGGTAGTTGGACAAGTTGGACAAGTTGGACAAGTTGCACAAGTTGGACAAGTTGGACAAGTTGGACATTTGTTCCAATTCCCCCACGCCTACGGAGGCTCAAGGAGACTACAAAGAGGCCGAAAAGTGCTTTAGAGACGCTTTCAAGCTGCGACATGTCCCCTGCTTGCAGTTAGATGGGGGATTGCCAGGGATTACCTTGAATGATCGAGGGACACTGATGCTTTGTTGACAAACAAGAGTGAATTTGGTGACCATCTTTACTTGGGTGGTTAAGGTTTAGATGGTTTCGTGCTTCAAATCAACACAATGGATCATAATGGTAGAAAGAAAGAACAACAACTTCTTGAGTTTGCCCGAGTTCGATGTGGGGTCAACATGTTCCATTTTCTTTCTGATTCTGGTCACCACCAATCACTTTTGGAGCAGGATTCCGCTGTGGGGTAGGATATGCTGGCAGTTTCATGGTCAAAACTGGCAGGATTCAGACGGTTCATGCAATTGTGTTCACACAATGATGCCCTTCGAATCTGTGTTAAAGCTATGTCATTCCATAGACCCTCACAGTGATGTCACATGTTCCACAAAAGGTGTGGTCATGATCTTCCACACCCTGCAAGAAGTTCCACTGTCGAGGTCAATAGATCTCAGTACGTGCAGTGTTGTGGGTAGGCAATCCAATTCTTGGTAGATTTGGTAGTCATATTGGCGGTTGTGTCCGTTTAGCCAATTTGTATCTATGAAACATTATGAAACATTATGAAACATATTTTTATAGCACATTTTTTACATTCTTATTTCTGTTTAGTTTGGTACATGCTGGTTGCTACTATTTTTACCTGGACCTGCACCCAGGAAAGTCTGGGACCCAAGCACCCGGAGACTTGGCAAACAAATATAATGTCAAACATAAAAGAAACCTCTGGAAAATAGGATGGTCCCAGAATGTCGCAGATGTAGGAGTTTCATGGAGTCTCCTCTCATTTTCAGGACAGACATCCAAATGATCAACAAATGCTACACATTGCTACACTCAACAAAATTTGGGTAAGGAATCCGAGAACCAGGTTATTCAAACGAACAAATGGGACGAAAATCCAACCATGCTAGATTCCATCCAAGTACTGAATGCGTCTTTGATGTTCTATACCTGAGAAATTCCCAGAGTATGCTCATACATAAAAAGCCAAAAACAAATATATAACTTCTATCTATTCTACCAACTATGCAAAACTTTGCTATCGTCAATGTGACAGTGTTTGGAACGTGTTTGCTGTAGACTTATACATCTGATAACTAACTAATGTACATGTGAAGGACAAAGCCAAGAAATGCGAGATGATGGGTAGATTTTCAGCGACTCAATGCGATTCAGCCAATATGCTTTTTGACCTCGTTTCCTAACCCTATAAATAGCTAAGGTTTTGCACCATGGGATGTAGTGTGATACAAACAATCCAAAACGATCCAAACTCTTCAAAAGCTGTCGAATTTTCCAAATCTTAAAACGGTCCAAGTCGTCTGAGGATACTTTGACGAGTCTCAACAACTTGGCCTGTACTGTGGATGCCGTGGGGCGGCCCTCCGAAGCGGGCAAACTCTACCAGGAGCATGGCAGAGCTGTGGCGGGTTGGTGGGCAAAGTGGCAGGTCAAAGGGACAGATCCGTTGCATATCGGAAGAATTCGGAAGTCGTCATTGGTCGCTTTGTAGGTCACATAGTGACATAGTGAATCATTTAGTAAACCATTAGTGATCACTATGTCACAATTATTTCACAATTATTTTACAATTATTTCACACTTGGAATTTTAGAGGCGAACAATCTCAACATATCTCAACTTTGTTGGGATGCCAACCCTCATTTGGCCCTGGCCCCGTCATAGGAGTGCCTGGAGCGTCGGCGTGGCGTCCTGGGCCATTCTCATCCAGATACCATGACCAGCATGAGTGCCTTGGGCTTGGGGGATGTGGCCATGGGATGCCATGGGTTAAAAAAAGTGAAAAGGTCTCGAAGGTCTCGATCAATCTCGATCATCAAGTCAGAAGTTCATTTTGTTGCGTCATGAATCTATCGAATCTATCCAGTATATTCCAGTATTGTTTGTAGTTTGCAGCCATTCTGGGTGGCTGCACAGTGTTACACAACAAGACTTGCTGGATGTCTTGACATGGGTAGTGTTTGTGAGAAAGCCGTCACACTTGTTTGTTCAAGGCGGCCCACAGTCTCCCTGCCACCAGTTGTTGCGGGGTTGGATTTCGGATTGATGCCCACTGGCCACTAGTGAACTAGTGTGTTTCTTGCAACTATGCGTGTTCACTGTCAACGGATATTGGCAGAAGCAGAATTTCCAACGTGATGCCATGGTGCCTCTGAACCCAGTCACCCGGGAAGTCGACACGTTTCACAATGTGCCATTTCTTGGTTTGAATGTTGGGTCTCTCAGGGCAAGCTTCTCAAGCCCAGGAGATGTGTGTACCAACATCCCTGGTAGCGTGCCGAACCGACCCACCATGTGCAGGCAACCTGGCACTGTACCTCAAGGCCAATGGACAGCTTCTCGTCAGTGTGGGGCTGGGGCAACACTGTGAGGCCAACAACGAGGCTCTCATCACAAAATATCTCATGGTACTTAAATCGGACATGCACCCTTAGAAGCCTTAGAATTATGTTCTCCTCAATAGTAACTTGAGCGATCAGTCTAGGGCCATGAGTTGAGCCTGGCTGCCAGGATTGCAGGTAAGGGAAATGCCAAACAAATAGGACCAAATGGTGAAACGCCGCGCCTTTTTGAATCTGCCCTAATTGGCGTAAAGGATTCTGCAGATTCTCAATGCTGTCGATCCACTGATTCTCCGAATTCTCCCTCTCTTTTCATCGTGACACATTGTGACATATGACATCGTCGGCTGATGACTTGGGTGAAGTCAGTGAAGTCAACATTCAAAGCGTCGTGGGAACTTCGTTGGGCTCCTGGCTTGTTTGGGGCTCGAGACTTTGTTCAGCACTAGCAGAACGCTTACCTTTAGATTGCTAAAGAGGGCTTTTGATGCAGCATTTGTTCAATTTCACCAGCATCATGATAGTCCCATGGAACCTGAGTGGGAATGGTCTGTGCTTAGGACAGAGAAGGCCTTTGAGCTCTTTGAGCAGGTGCTGGATGGACGGAGGAAGATCTTTGGGATTAAGTGTCCTGGGTTTGCTTGGTCAATTTTTGAATTCGATTTGGAAATCCAAGCCAAAATTATGCGGTCCTGAAGGACTTTTTTGGAACAACTTAGATGAGTGAGGAAGCTATGATCCAGATCGGAGAAATTCAACACATCTCTTGAGCTCTTTGATTTGAGCCAAGGCACATGGATACCATCATCAGCATGAACAATCTTGCCTCCATGCAAAAGGAGCTTGCAACGTCATTGACGGATGGGATGGATTTGATTTTGCATGAATTTGCTGTACAAAAAGCAACGGAAAGCAACAGGTTGGAAAGCAACAGGTTCATGCTGCCAGAACCTTGGTCATGAAGGTGCTACCTGGATTCTATGCTGTACAGCAGCATCATTGGCCAGGAAAAAGTACTTTTTTTTTTCAAACGACTACCATCGTGTTATGGCTATTCCTCAGAACGACAGTCTAGCCACGTGAATCCTGCGACAAAACGGGACCAACTAAGGTATGCGCCAAGCCGCCAAGTGTTAAGCACGCAGGAACCTCCAATGGTCCAAGCCTCCAAGCATAATCTACCAAGCTCGACTGAAAACCGCCCCCAGCCTGAACATCCACAAAGACTCACAAGGTTCTTTTAATTCCTCTGCCAAATCGTGAAGTTTTGACCAGACAGACCGACAGAACCCTTCAGTCCAGTGGGTTCATTTGTCCGCTATCTTCTTCATTCTTCTTCCGATGGATTTCTAGAAGACCCTTGAAAGCCCCTGGAGCGGAGTCAGATCTCATCTCAGATCTTGAGAAAATCTTGCTGCCCTAAATTATCCAAGATCTGACTCTATGACCTCTATGCTCTTTTTCGGATGTCGGGATTGGGACGAATTTGGGACGAATTTGGACGAATTTGGACGAATTGGCTGTCCAGTTTCAGCAATTTGCTTAGCATTTGCTTGCACCTGCAGGATCTTGCTGAGGAGCTGGGGTCATGAAGCGGTGCCGTGGGCAGTTGAGGAAGACATCCAGGGAGACCCCATCTTTTGTCTCCACTGGGTGTTTTTCACGAGATCCATTATGACATATTATCACACATATTATCACACATATAGATTCTATATAGATTCTAGATTATATTAGATTCATTTTCTCCCCCAAGGCTTCATGGAGTGAAGGACTCAACATGTCCCCAACTTGGATCGCGAACCCATCCACTGCTGCGGAAGGAGGATGGTACATTGACAATTTAGGGACGTGGGTAGAGCTGTTGGGTTCCCTTCAAAATTGATAAGATACACATATATAAATGTGATATCCTGATAATGTTTGATAGGAGAACTAGAGCACTCTATCTATCTATCTGTCTATCTATCTAATCTTACCTTACCTTATCTGATCTTATCTTATCTCATCTAATTTCATCTAATTCCATTTAATTTTATCTAATCTCATCTAATCTCATCTAATCTCAATCTAATCTAGTCTTATCGTATCGTATCTTATCTATCTTTTTACATATTCTAATAGAGGAATGCAAAGTTGCCAAATCATGATACAAGTAGTTTGCCTCAGCGGTCCTGCCAACTTCCACGTCAGGAGTACCGAAGGAAGTACGATGATCGCGAAGAAAAGAAGGCGCTGGACAAAGCCCATTCCCTCTTGAAGGAGGCTCAGACCGACTCAGACCGGTATTTGTTTTGGCAACTTTGATCCAGACATTGAGAAACAGGGCCTCAAAGCCATCCACAGACCCAAAGGGGCTCCATGGCCAGTGATGGCGTTATCCTTTGATGTTCACCATCCCAAAACGTGAACTTGTGCTGCAACATGCTGCAACAACTGTTGATTGGGTATGGTGGGAAGGTGTGTGAAGAATATGTGTGAAGAATATTGGTTGCACGGTGTTGTGTATAGCCTGTGCCTCCGAATCCTTGCTTCGCATCTATGGGAATGCGATGGGACGGCGAGACATCCAAAGTTCTCACACAGGCAGTGTTTTGCGGTCGGCAACACTTGGGGAAGCGCCACCCGGTGACGTTGTGGCTTGTCTCCTTCAAGGAGGGGTGATCATGAAGCTCAGATTTGGGAATGCATCGCACTCCGTGCGAACATCCAAGGTGTAGGAATGCATGTCTTGATTTGAAAAAGATTCCAGAATTTTCCAGATATGTCTGCCGTCTAGCTTCTTGTCTTTACCCATCACCCCCACGATCTCGCAGTTGGGAAACTCTGTTGGCTATCAACGGAGCAGAAGAACTCATTACAGCATAGACCCTCATTTACTCTTAGCCTATCTTAGCCTCATCACACTAGCTTCAAAACTCCAATCATAAGTAGATGAAGCAAAGAAAATGGGGTGGTGCTTTCGGCCGCCGCTAGGTCTCTGCACAATTATAGCGTTGCCATTCGCCAAACTTACATGGGTGAAGAAATGCTCAAAGTAAGAGACATATATCAATAAAGTGTTAGGCACAGCTCGGCCGGACTATCCCAACACGAGAGACTTCCTTAAAATGTCAAGGGGCCAGATGTCCTCAACTCAAAGAATATGCAAACAAATCACTTGCAAAAACCATTGTCCTGCAGAAGGCTATGCCGGATATGCATGGATATGCCGGATATGCCGGTCATGATTTAGTCATTGGAGGAGATTCTGCGATTCCCAATTTTGCTCCAAGTCATGACCAGACAATCGACACTCCAATGGGTCCTTTCAGATGGGTTCCCTGTCAACAAGGAAGCCTGAATACATGGGGATACTACCCCTGTGACTGGAATGTTTGACGGGCATTGACATTGAAGCCTGTTGTGATCACCTTTCACGAACGCTTGAGAAATCCCTAGATGATTTTGGGGCAAAACGATCGCACAAAATCGAAAAAGGACCCCTAAGTGGAAATAGAAAGCCTAGAAAGCATAGAAAGCATAGAAAGCATCGGCTCGATTTTGGTGTTTAAACTTTTCATGTCTTTTTCGTGGATGATTGGCCCAAGTGATCAAAGTGTTCTTTCAGGGCCTGAATTCTCTGACGATGCTTTTACATGCACAAACGTGCACACTACTTCTTGAAAAGACTGTTATTTAATATATTTAATATATTTAATTGTGTTGATTTCGGGACAGCCAGCAAAAACTGTTTCCTGCCCAGCTGGGATCAGCTGGGTCTCCACAAACGTTGCCCCTGAGGAAGAGCATTAACAACTTGGCAGCTTGGACGATCTCGTGCTGCGATATATTTGGGTGAATTTTGAAAATGTTTTTACAATGTAATTGTGTAATATTCCTGCTGCGCACATTCTTTTGTCTTTGCACAAATGGAGATGTGTCCGCCTTTAAAGTTTGCAGGGGCAGTGTAAGAATCATCTCTCAGTCTTGGGTAGTAGTCTCACTGTTCGGAGTCTCAAATAGGCATTGGGATGCATTGGGTCTCTGCTCGGGCATAAAGAAAAGCTATGTGACTTTATATGGGCAAATTGAAGAGACAAAGACGACTGCTATGTGCAGTCTCATTGTGTGATGTCTCTAACAAGGAGCATATCAGCATATCCATTGTATAAATATCCCCTTGAAACCGAAAGATCTATCATGGCAATCAAATATCTGAAAGCACAAATTTGATGATTTTCCCTTGAGGAGAGGGGATTTCGCATGGCAGCGCTCATGGCTTACCCTGGCAATGCTCAATAGTCAGATCATTTCCCAAGCCGGTTTTCAGTTTCAACTTCGGTGTACTTCATGATTTCTTTCTGCGTTCATTTCCCCCTGCTTTGTGAAACTCCCAGCCACTCTCGGGAAACCAAGGCGGGCGTGATGCGAACGCGAGGAGACCTGGAAAAAGCCAAAGAGCCACTTGGAATGTGGGGGACTGGGTCAGTGCACTCACATATTTTGGTTCACTATGGTTCACTTCTGTCAGTTCTGCCTCTATTTCAATTTCAAAAAGGAACAGTCGGGAAAACCGGGAAAGCCAGAGACTCAAGTCACCGAGGATGGCTCCTGGCTGTCTCTTATTATTTCCCGGAAACTGAGTGATCGGGAGCTTCACCAGGTTGGTAGTGGATGGTAAGGGTAAACGATGGTAAACGTTGTACATGTGGCTACAAAATAATACAATCCCATACCAATCCTGGGTGCTAAGCAAACAATTGGGATTGAATCGGATTGAATCGGATTACCTTTGGGGGACAGCCGACAAAGCGGACGTGTGCCTTGGCAACCTGTCTACCAGGTGTACCTGGTCTACCGCCATCGGCCTTGCCAAGGCTTTATGAGAAGGCGGTCCAAGGAATGCGAGACTCTCTGGGAGACAAACACCTCGCGTCTTGGAAGTCATTTATGTTTTTTTTCAGAAGGGGAATGGCTGAGGTAAATGGCTTTAATATGCTTTAATGATCTTTAGCGGTACTAATACCGTACCGTATCAACATGCATCAACTGTAAGTCAAGAAGAGCATGTTGGATTCAATCGAAACAACATGAATGAAACGCATTCAATCGAAGACTTCACACTTATTTAGTTTGATGCCCTGTGATACGGCTGAGGACACCTTGCTATGCCTTAACAACCTGGCTGGCGTTCTGCGCTCCGTGAATGAAATCGATGATGCAGAGGAATGCTACAAGGAAATCGGGCGAAATCGGGCGAACGGAGTGTTCAATGAGGAGATTAGGCCATGGGGTCGCAGTATGCTTTCAAAGGGAAGTGCAGGAAGGGTTTGTTCAAAAATTGTTAGCCCTTCAGGTCTCTTCACAATTTCATGTTGCTTTGCCTGTTGCACGGCTGTCAAGTTGAGGCCATCATACAACGGAGATTTAGATGCTGGAGTAAGCTGATGGTCAGAGTTGACTTTGGTTTGGTCTTGGGAAGGGGGGGGAACTTGCTCAATTTTTGGGAGTCGAAGCCAATGACCAGATCTTATGCCGATTGATACAGTATCCCATGATGGAGAAAACACATCCCCGTGACCCTATGGCAAGTATTTTTGAAATGTGTGCGCAGCCATCAGAATGATGTACCCACTTTTATTTGTAATCCTAGTTATCCGAACTCATATGAGTTGCTTATCCCGGGAATCCCCAATTGAGATGGTGGTATCAGCATGATTTTGTCCCAATGAATTGGTGGATGATACCAGATCTTAAACCAGCAGATCCCTTCATCTCAGGAGGCGGCTACAGGGATTGTTGAAAAGCTAGGGGACAAGCATCCCACCAGCTACTTGGATCTACTTGGTGCACGCTGCAAAGTGGGCCAAAGGGAGTCAAAATGGGCCATTCGCCAAGCAAATCTGGGGGCTTTCTCAGCAGAGTATTTTCTTCAGAGAGGTTGTCTTTACTTGTCTTTACTTGTGGCATCTTGTAGCTGAGGGCAGTGACTTGGCTTATCTCACGAGTTGTCCATGTGGTGGTGAAGCTGTGCATGAGGTGTGTCCACGCTCTACAACTGGGGCCTGACGCTGGATGAGAAAGGCGCCGTTCCGAACCGGCGAAACGGGTCAAGTGCGAGGGCCTAGTGGCCAAGTTGGGTCCAGTTGCCAGGCGACTTCAGCAGCGCGGTGCCTTTGTATCTGCACGAGTTGGACCATGCCGTTTATGCTCCAGAGTTTGGGAACCCAGAGTCGTCGGTCAGAGTCGGTTGATGGTGCACCTCGGAAACAAACTGAAGAAAACTGAAGACCTATGGCATCTTGCAACCACCGATTTTGAGGTATGATAGATTATGATAGGTATGATTTTACGCCTGATTTTGGAGGGAGAAAAATGAGAAAATCGGTAAAACAAATCGGTAAAAAGATGTAAAAAGTATGCGTTGGGCAATCCTGGAGTTCCGGTCTGTGGATGATGCTCTCCGTGCGCCTTGTACATCCCAACTTGAACCAATCATGACAAGCGTGAGACTACCAGCTGTTTGATTAGCTGCTGGGACTGATCAAGGCCGTGGGCCTTAAGGTCAAAAGTCTAAGGATTGGTTTAAACTTAGACTAAGGATTTACAGTATCTTCTAAATTCTAAATTGTAAAGTGTAGACACAGAACATTGATTTGTAATAATGATCAGCCGTTGTAAGCCTTTTCTCGCGGTCGCTGGATCGAACATGCAACGTGGACTGCCATCTTGCCACAGCCCTCGGCCAGGCAACGCATGGAGCGAATGAAGAATCTGAGCGAACGGCTGCGAAAGGTTGGAATGCTTCAGGAGGCACAATGGATGAACAACATATGAGGACATGGTAAGAAAATCTATGAACATGAATGAAATGGTGGCGTGTCAGCACCCAAGACATACCAAAACAATCCAACAAGTACATATTGCACAGTGCGAATAGCTTCCATTCTGGCTGCATTTTGGGGAAGTTTGAACATGATTGAAATTGGGCGCCCAAGAAATTAGCCCACATACTCATGGGTTGTCCTGTAGTGGTGTGTTGGACGGCTGAATGTGGCATGTTACGACTGTACTTTCAAATACACTTTAAATAAACTTTAAATATCTTTAAATACTCATCAGATCTTTTAATAAGATCTTTTAATAAGATGTTTAAAGATCTTTTAAGGATGGCATGGCCCTGCCAAATCCTGGAGATCCACTTGACCGCAGACACGTGAAGCCGACCTCCGGATCCGGGACGGTTGCGACCACGCCATGGCGGAAGCGAAAATGCTGACGATCGAAGACATCATCTTCGGGGCAAAGGAAAGGAAAAGTCTCGACAAGGAGATGCACAGTGATGGCCAGTGATCGCTCAAACGTAGCTCCATCTTTGAAGTTGGGGTGAAGGCGGGGCAATGGGTTGACCAGTCGTGACACCAGGACAGCAAGCAGAAAGACGAGCTGGTGATCAGTGGCTGGGACAGCACCATTTCTTATGGCCATAGGACACTATAGGATACTATAGGTAGTTATATGAGTTGTATGATAATCTCTAATTCAACAACATCCTCAAGAAGTACCATTTTTTTTTTTAAAGAGAACGACTCATCACTATACTATATCAGTTTCCTCTGGATCAGTTGACACCCTTAGGGTGTAACGGATTCTGTACGGATTCTTTTTGGACCCTCATATGTTTTTCTACCAGAAATGGTCAACATGCAGGCAATTGATCTGGGGTTGACCTTAGCATGAAAGCTGGAAAGATCCTGCCAAGCCACCGCTACTTCAGGGTAGTAAGGTGATGCTGCCTAGCAATCATATTGCATGCCTGTTCCTATATGTTCCTATAGATCACACTTCCATTGTTGATAGGAATTATATTCATCCATATCTTCATTCTTTACACAATGAGTAACCATTCTATACCGTTCTTGCATTTTCCAGGGCATGAATCGGAAAAGGCTCCCGTAGTTTTCATTTCCAATCCATATCTGGGAGATTCTGGGAGCTTTTCCCAACTTAGAGACCTTTGGTGAAAGCTGCGCAGGTTGCCTTCGTAGTCTGGCAATGGATGCTGTACAACAGGCCAACTCCGGCCATCCTGGTACACCCATGGCCATGGCGCCAGTTGCCTACGCCCTTTGGGCTCGTGACATGGCGTTCACTGCGGTGTCACTGGTCAGGTGGCGGCCCTGAAACTCTGTTGTTAGTCGGAGAGACCGCGAGACCTGTTGACAACAAAAAAACATGGCAACAAACAAACCACTGACTACAACAAGAGCACAACAAGAGCATAACAAGAGCAGAACAAGAGCATCATGAACAGATTTTCCTGCTGTAATTCAAATATTTACTTTGCTTGGGTGTACAGGGTTTGGTGCCTAGTGCCATTCATCAGCAATGTACGAGTGATGATCCCTGACACGATGTACTTCTCCCATTTTGTCTCGACTGGAAAAGCCAATTTAAGCAGGGGAAGTACAGTGTCTCATAACTTTTCATACCTTCCTGGTATGCAACCCCTTGCGTTGGTGCCATCAATTGGACCAAGGGATCCTGAACTACGACCCTGACTCGCCACAGTGGATGAACAGAGATCGCTTCGTGTTGTCCATGGGCCATGCATCCATGTTGCTCTACGGCCTTTTGCATGTGGCAGGAGTGAAGGAAATGACGCAGGTGCATTGAGTTGGGCATGGAATGGGATGGGCCATTGAGTTGCAAATTTGTTCAAACTGTTTTGGGGCGGGCAATCGGACAAACAGTGACATGATGACATGATATGACATGGCTGTGAATGAATTTCCATCATGTTTCATCACTTCTTTGGCACAGCTAGACAGGAAGGGCATTCTACGGAGAAGACACTTAGTGGCAAGACAGTGGCGCCATGTTCATGATGGCAATATTATGCAACACAATAGTCACACTGGAGAGGCAAAGGACTTTTGATTTGGTGCAACCTGATGGCCTGCAAAACATTTCAGATCTGAGGCAGTCAATGCATAGACCCATTGAACCTATGTGCGATGTCCAAACTGGAGTTGTTTCTCTGTCATAGAGGATAGCTTTCTGATATAAACGCGGTGAAAATATGTGATAATACTATATAATACTATATATAGAGGATCCTTGACGATCTAGATACATCAGATGCTTATTGTGTTATTTCCCTCGCCTGGTCAAGGCAACGCTGGGAGGCAATGAAGCGAAACACACGGTGTATAACGTTTGTATAACATTTGTATATCTGAATAATCTGTATAATCTGTATAATCTGTATTCAGAGTGCAAGGCTCCCAGGCTCCGTAACCAGAAACCACAAATTTCCTGACTCTCCCAATTCTGAACTTGTAATACGTACCTTCAGAGTTTGAGATGCTTGTTTTCATGCTTCTGTTATCTTCTGATCATACTCTTACCAACGATGATTCCCCCCGATAGTCCACATGTTCTGGATGTGAGCAGATCTTTGGTATGGTTCACAGGCCCCAAACGGGCAGGGCCTGTTAAAGCCATCTATTTCTCAATGCTGGGTATGTTTCTTCCACAAACATCTTCAAACGCTGTCTAGCGCCATTTATAGGATGTTCCTAAGTTCTATTGACCTACTGTAATCATCCAGTAGCCTCACTATGCCTCAATGACATTGTCATTTGTAACTTTTGAATCCCCGGGACATCACCAATTGAGATTCGCCTGTCTGTGATTTCGCCCTAGCCGTGCAGTGCCTGAGGATGGCCGTCTCCTTGGATGACATCCGCAACTTTCGCCAGCCACTTGAACTGTTCACATCTGTTCACATCTGTTCACATTTGTAGACCATTCTCACTTTGGATTGCTCGCAATGCAAAGATGATGTGGTCAAGTTGAATAGATTGTTTGTATCCCTGAAGCATTCCGATAAACTTTGGGTAAGGTGTCTGCCAAACATTGCTCATGAATCTGAATTGGTCATGATCCCTTTTGATTCGCCTCTATTCTTACATCATCTTTCAAGAAGCGTTGGTAGCAATGCGTTGGTAGCAACTCCTGCAATTTCCATGCATAATCTTTTCTCATTCACGTACCTCAGCAAATGGGTCAGAACTATCGGACGCTTGGAATCTGGTTCTATTTGGTCTTGTGTGGTAGTGGGGATTTCTTCCCAAACATACTAAAAAGATCTGAAATGATCCGGTAGCCCGGTAGATCTGTAGTAATTCTATAGTCAATTATAGTCAATTATAGTCAATTATAGTCAATTATAGTCACCATAGATCTGCCATGACCTGCCGGAATCTGCTTTCGTTGCAGGTTGGGTTCGCGCTGCCCGGGCCACCCCGAGTTCGGCGAGACGGGCGGCGTGGAGATGACCACAGGCCCACTGGGGCAGGGTGTAGCCACCAGCGTCGGCATGGCCATGGCCTCCAAGTGGTGCCTCGGTGATGAAGTCATGATGCCGCGATGCCGTGTTTTTTTGTGCGAAAATATGACAAAACAAATACACAACAAATACAAAACACATATGACAATCATTTATATTTATATAAACATATTTAAAACATATAAACACAAACTGATGACATGCCATTGGATGCTAATGAATGCTATGGAGTTTGCAACTAGTAGACACGGGGACACCACCCTTTGGGATGAGTAAAAGTGTGTAAGAAGTAAGCGGCATCCTGGACAGGATGTTCTTTCAACCACCGCAAACTGCAAACTCCAGAACGCACGCTTTTCTTTGCTGGCTGTTTGAAGTCCCTGAGAGAATGAAAATAGCTGTGAGACTTGGGATACAACTCTAAAACGTATTGCGACAATCAGAAGTGATATTTCTAATCTTGAGGAAACTGATCGAGTGTTCCTTGCTTGTTGTGTATGCCTGAGTCCTGACCAACAATCCATGGGTTTGTCTTCCGCACTTCACACTAGCAGTCTTCAGTACCTATGGGGACCGTTGAACATTTCACCAGGTATGTCCCTTCACCCGGAGGATATTTATTTTGGGGGATTTGTGTTGTGACATAGAAATTCCATCCACAAGGGGCGGGCTGGCTGGAAGATTCACTTTGCTGGATGCTTGTTGATTGAAGGCTCTGCGATTTGAGACTGTTCCAATCCTCTGGAAACTTTTGATTCTAAACGAGCTTGAGACCAGCAGGGCAAGGTCAATTGCCGCTCACTTCAACAGGTTTGCTTCTAACTTCAACAAACCGGACTTCCCCTTATTTGGATTTGACGTCTTTGCGCTTGCTGGGGATGGCTGCTTGCAGGACTGACATAGAATGACTGGGTGGAATGTGTTCAGAAAGGTCCGTGGTTTAGTCACAATCTCGGAGAGCTGCTCAGCGATTATAGGTGATGGGTGATGATGGATGGCGATGGGTGATGATGGGTGATGATGGGTACTGATATGGGTGGTTGTGGTCAAGGATTGTGTGGAGGACAGGACCTACCGCAATATTGCTGTCTCTTCTGTTGCGCCCCCCGCCCTGTGCCAGCAGCCAGGAGGGCGTGAGTGCAGAAGCTGCCAGTCTTGCGGGGCACCTGAAGCTGAACAACTTGTGTTGGATTTGGGACTCTTGGCAGTGGATTGTGGCAATATGATGCAATATGTGGGTGCATGCCTTCGTTGGTATCCAAGTCTGGCAATGTTTCTATGATATTCTATGTTCATGCAGAGGCTTGATAACATGGAACATATTATATAATAGATTTAATCAAAGCAACACAGAGGCCCATGTATTTTTGGGTTCACATATACCACATGGACGATAAAGCCAAGTCTCACGTTGAGGCATAGACCCCAGATCCCCAGATCCTGTTTCTCGACCCAGTGGGAACGCATCCCGATGAAGAAAAGTCCACTGGGTCAAGTTTTAGCTTCATCAGCGGGCACGCGTTGCAAAGCCATGAGAGAAGTGATTCAAATACATGCTGGAAGTCCTTTGATAGAAGAAGGAGGCTATCAGCAAGGAGCAACTCCTGTGGAGTATGCTCCGCAAGTGATGGATTCAGGTTCTGAACCAAGACCTACACAGGTGAGACTTGATCAAAGGGAAAGTATCGCACCAAGAAATTCCGATGTAGCTGCACTTCTGCCCCCACCTGAGGTGTCTAGCTCCAGCCAGGAGAGAGTCTCAGGCCTCAGTCTGGACTGCGCACCAATGCCGGTCGTTGCACCACCTCATGCCTGCGCGCCAATGCAGGTCTTTGTGCCACCCCTATGATGGGCCCTCAAGAGATGGAAGGCTCCCGGGAGATGACAAGGTCCGAGGATATGGAGAGGTCCCGAAGTAGAAATTTGCAACGGGAGCTGCAGGCTGCAAAGTCACAGGCGCTAGTGCCAGTGACGAGGAGGCCGCCGCAACAGCATGGTCCTTATCCTTCGACTCTCTCAGTACCTCCCAGTGTCTACGAACAGATGACGACGTTGCAACAGGAATTGAGAGATGCAAGAGACTTACCAGAGAGGTCGAACGAGAGCAGGCCACCCAGGCATATGAGGGAGCTGCAGCACCTGCACAAGCTGTCGACGATTTGATTCCGGATTCGCAGAGTGGTCCTCCTCAACAAGCATCTCGGCAGCATTTCGTGGTTGGTAGGTCTCGTGTCATGTCCTGTGTTTGCCAGGGTTTTGGGCGGCCATTTGAGTCAAGCGGTGTCCAAACCACTGTGAGGGTGAGCGCATTCTTCGTTTTCTTGTGCGAATTTCATGTCGTATTTGGAAGCTGCTGTGTGCTCTCTACTGCGTCATTTGGAATTCCGAAACGGAATCAGGCGGGAAGAATCCCAGTATGACAGTTGCGAAGTGTGTGCACCACGAGGCCACCAGTGGGAAGTGCAGTTGACAGATCAAGATGTAGCATGGGTCGACAAGGAGATATGGAAGTTCGAAAAAAGCTGTGAAAAGGTCTCCCGGAAGAAACGGCAGAATGACAGATACCTTTGCTCCCTCAACGACTGGCTGGTATGTCGTCAAGCCTTCTTGCAAGACTGGCCTTTCAGTTTAGATGGTGTCTCGCCCGACTTCGACAGAGATTGGATGGCACAATCCAGTGCTTGGCTACAACAATATTCTGCGGAAGAACTGACAATGAAGGCCGATGTTTTTTTTCTGTGATGTAAGATGTAAGCAAAGACAGTGTAAAGATGTATATATTTAGATAAGTATATATGGCACAATCATGTCAGCCGTTTGGAACAACTCACCTGTGTTTACATGTGTTTTTTCACCCGTATGGCACAATCATGTCAGCTGCCTGGAACAACTCACCAGTGTTTACGTGTTTTTTTTCATCTATATGGCACAATCATGTCGGCCGTTTGGAACAACTCGCCAGTGTTAACCTGCGTTTTTTTTTTAGTATTTCTGGTGACTGATATTTCATGTCAACCATTTGACTCACTCACATGCCTTTCACCTGTGTTTTTTTCGTATTCCGGGCGGCCGCCAGGTGGGCATGGTGTGCGAACTACAAAGCAGGCGGATCAAGTCCAGGCGGACTTCAAGGGCATGACCCTCCTGACCTTTTCCCGACAACTGCGAGCAGGCTTGATTCACAACTTTGATTTGTCTGAAAGGAGCCTTAGTCCGGTCGTTGAAGCTCTCGGCTCCATGGGATGTTGAAACCCGGGGGATCTATTTGACCCACGGCCTGACCATCCGTTTTGCGGGAAAAGTTTTGCTGAAGATTGGCCTGTCCCATGATCTTGATTTTTTATCCACAAGTACTCTCGCCTCAGAGCCTACAAAATTCTGGACTATCCCCAAGGCACGGTTCTGGAACACATGAGCTTCTTAGTGACATGCAGCAGCAAGGAGCATGCAGCCGACGTGGAACATCGACTTCACTACTTGGCAAGGGAAAATCAAACAGGACCACTTCGCGTCCCAAAGCGAAGGAAGCAAGAAGCCTAGAGAGGCCTACGCATTGTTCCAGGCCGCCAAGGACTTTGTGCTCAATGTAAGCCGATTGAATCCCGCTGAGCCTCACGTCCAGCAGATGGAAACAGGCTTAGACTTCCTCTTGGAAAGAGATTACAAATGGGATCAAATTGGAGCCTGGCCTATCCTGTCTTCTTCCGATCTGACTGTGTAATCTGTGTGTAAAAAAGTGAGACCACTTTGCACAGCCTTGACCTTCAGACTTGTATCTTGGCCCGTGAAGCATCACATGCTCCACACAATCAAACACAAATCGTATTCAAAGGCGAATTGTTTTGGGATGTTTGGGGAACAATCTATACGCATTTCAAAAACTTGACACACTGTCCCATTACATTTACCAGCTAAATCTCCTGGCAGATCTATACAACCCTGTAAACACCCACAATTAAGGTTGCAAAATTTTTCAAATCTTTATGTCACAGACAAGTGGTTGGTGTTCCAGATTTGTCATTTTTCAGACCTGGCAAAATTTGGGAACATCGAAGAAAATGTTTGTCGTTTTTTTGGCATTTCTTTGCAATCGGAGGACAACAATCAGATCACCATTGAAGGCAACACCGCGTGGGCCATCTCCGAGGCACTTGGACCCAGACCCAGCTTAGGAGGTGAGTGTCAGTGACTAAGGTGACTAGGCCCTAGTGATAGTGTTTGCTTTCATGAAGGCATAAAGTGCGTAGATTCAACAGTGCAGCTCTATCCACAGGGATTTTAGATTTTAGCCATCACCCCCCCGGCATGGACCAGGCTGTATGATTGGTTATTGGATGTTGTTGGATAGATTTCAACTTTATCAGTTCGGTGACCCCATTTCGGGAAGCAAAAAAGAAACGTTGGTTTTGCATGGATTGTTTACCGGATCAGCTGAACCATATCCCTATTTTGACAGATACTGATTACTATGGTATTGTATGAGTCGTTTTTTTTTTCTGGGAGAGGATCCGGCGCAGGACATCCCTACGCGCTTCATTGCTTATGGCTGGAACGTGCTGCGCGTGGGCGATGCCAACGATGTGGAAGCTTTGACACGAGCTTTCTTGGCTTTCAGGCAACTGCGGCCGCACTAGCCGCACTAGCCGCACTAGCCGCACTACGGTCGGCTGTGAAGTCAATCAAACAATTTGGAGCACTGTATGATCTAGATTGAGCTACCATTCTCTGCCTGAAACTCTTAAATTTGTAGGTTGTTTTATTCCAAGAGTTTCATAGAAGGGTTACACAATTTACAAACTACATGGCCTGGGGTCCCTGGATTTGGGGATCACTCGAAAGATTGATTGAAATTGGGGCGTGTGCACATGCCATAGGGATGGAGATGCACAGACAGAACAGACGGTGATGAAGGTCTGTTTGGACTGTGGAACACAGCTGGGTTGCTGAAGTACAATAATTTTCCAAAGTATCTTCATGGATTCAAGTCATCCCAGGTTGGTGTGGTGTGCAATGCTGAAATGGCAGATAAGCACTTCATAGCACCTGGAAGGGTTGCAGCACTTCACAGCAGTTCACAGCAGTTCCTCAGATGTCAGGCGAGAACAGGAGCGGCCCACGTTGATCGTGGTCGACTCGCACATCGCCTGGGGTGCTCCGACCAAGCAGGATTCCTTCCACGCACATGGCACTCCACTGGGAGAGAAGGAGGTCCAGTTCAGAGCGTTGGAGTGCAACTGAAGGGGTTGTTTTGAGTGGGAACCATCAGCCTGAACATGAATCTTGAAAGCTGGTGCCAAAATCCATTCAGTGTCAAATTTCGTTCATTGGCGAGCTTTCTAGCAGAATTTGGATGCCAAGCTGCCGAACAAGGATTCACCCAAAAACTGGTATTGAGCCAATGCTATGCTGGTCGTTTATTGATTGGTGGTATTTGCATGGAGACCTATCATGTGCATGATCAAAATCCACTGAATCTTCATTCGGAAAGTTGAAATCATCTTGAGATCAAAGATTAGTCGCTTAGAGCCCAACCGCGACCCTGCAGGTTGCTGCAACTAAGCATATCTACAATTGGCCCAATGAGAAGTTCCTGGTGCCCAATGAGGCAGGCCTTCCGTTGCTGCCAGATATCCTCCCACACATCCTGCCAGAGGTAGCAAAAGTGCTACTTGTTAAATCTTGTTACATTGTTTCCTTTTCTTGGACAGCTAGGAGCTAAATTACTCAGAAGGGCTGCGGTCGCGGCATGTTCTTTGCAGAAGGGTTGAGTTGATTTTTTTGGTTCCGATGTCTTTGGAAATCGGATCAAGATGTCCTGCACATAAAGATTTTGGCGCTCAAAACTCCTTCCTCAGCATCGACGTGCATGTGCCAGTTCAGGGTTCTATTGGCAAACTGGCCAAACTCAGACCCATTGGGGGGCTAATGTTATTGGTGTCAGAAGGTGTTGGGCCACGATCCATCAGTCAATCCATCTCCAGCAAGGCTTCAAACAATAGCAAACAACAAAGTCAAGAGATACGTGCATTTCGAGTCACGTTGTTTGCAAAAACGTTTGTTTGTTTGTTTGTTTGTTTGTTTCCCCGCTTTCACTACCTTAGGACCATTCCGGATTATATATTTTGGAATACTTTGGACCATTGCTCCTCGCCTGCACAGGTCAAGGAGCACTTGAGGCAACAGATGGCACAGCGCGGTGGGTGCAACTGCCAACAATGGGCCCCTGGGTGCTGAAGATTCTAAAATTCTGTTGGAATGGATCCCTGGATCATCCTGGATCCCCCTAAATCTTTCAACAAGTTAACCACCTTGAAGGCGAGGATTTTGGAAGGCATGCAAATGTGGGATGTTGTATGGGCACAATCGTACCAACATTCCAGAGTTTACAGTGCACCACATTGGCTTGTTTGAGACTGCTTGTTCGATATCTTGTTTAAGACTTTGGCAGCCAGAATCATAATGGCTCTTTGCCTGGGAACTCTTTTCTCGAACCTGTTTCTCGCTCAGGAGTGTAACCTACCAGGGGTATAAATCCTCAAAACGAGACACACTTTTTTGGAGCTCCTTCCGTCAAGTCAGGAGAAGATGTTGGAGGAATACAAGACCCAATATCCAGAAGAAGGACCGACAGTTGCGGTTCGCGGGGACTCCTTGCATCAACTGCCGCTTTACACTGCTTTCATCCATTTGTAAAGGTTCAGTACTGAGTCTTGTCACCATTGGTGTAGGCTCTTGAAAAAGGCGTACAGCTTGGAGAGGGTGATTTAAAGCCCTTAAAGCCGCTTCACTAGTGACAAGGGGCAGGCAACTTCCAGTTTGTGGAAAACGTGCAATTTATGGGATGCCCAATCCACCTGCGCATGAGCTTGACATTTCCTGAGGCTCTATGGGTGTGTAAGTCGGATATGCCACTGTCTGCAAGGAGAGAGCATAATCTCACCACTTTTCCTCAAGTCCTGCAACTGTGGATTTATCTCAAATTTCTATAAATTTCTCAGATTTGCCCATGAATCATCATGAATTTCACTTATATTGATCTAGCACCAACCTCTGGGATGCCACCTACGCTTCTTTGGGACCGGGACCCGGCAGGAAAATTGTTGCAGAACCTACTGGATGGTCGTCTTCCAGACAACTGGGATCGCTTCTTTGAATCTTTTCCAGCAGACCCAAAGGGACTGGCCACGCGGCAGTCCTCCAGTGCTTGCCTGAATTATGTCTCCAAAGGTGCGCAAAAGTGATCCTAAGTGCTGGATGGTCGGTAGTCTCAATATCGAAGACCCCCACCCCAATTGGAAGAAGAAACGAGAAAAGTAAGGATAGCATAGTATAGCATAGTATAGCGGTAAATGTAGATAATGTCGGCAGAATGCCTTCTATCTACTTGGAACTATGTGTATGGATTACACATATTACACATATTACACATATCAATTCGTGTCACAAATCTCGCCTGTTGATGGGTGATATGTTTTACACATTTGCGCGGCATGGGAATTGACCTTGATCAGCCACGGCGCACCGTCGGACACCGTCGGACACTGTCGGACATCGCAGGCATGCCGTGGCTTCTGGGTGGATCAGCAGATTTGGCCAACAGCTGCCTGACCACCTTGAAGGATGCTGAGGCAGGGCAGGTGACCCAGGAAATCCCAGGAAGTTTGGTACCAGTACCAGTACGTCCCCTTTGGGGAAATACCCCAAACACACAACATCCACCATTTTGATCATTTTGATGTCATAGGAAATTTGGAGTAGTGTCCGAAGGTTTCCAAAGATACAGAAGCCACTTCTCTTTGAGCAGTTGTTGGGTTTCTCCAGTTTCTTCTATACACAAACCAAAAACCATTCGGTTCCCCCAGACATAACACATTACATGAAATGAAAACATAAAGAGACTATGCGATTTGTAATTTGAACTGTCAGTTTTTTTTTGGGAATTGCATCTTATGAAACTGGACCCCTTTCGGCTCATGGTTCTGCTCGGCAGGACTTCTTGCCACCGGCCAGTCGCTGGGGTCACTATCGTGGTCGCAACCTGCATTTTGGCATTCGCGAGCACGCCATGGGCTCGGATTCTTGTCCCAGATACCTCCAGTTGTCCTCGCTTGTCGTTGACAGTCATGTCAGCGCTACCGGTCGATGTTTTAAAATGACCTCGCACAATTATGTACAATATTGTACAATAGTTCCTAGCAATCCCCAATTCAGAACAAACATTCACTCACTTGCAATCGAATTGATAGAGTGTATCTTGGCGCTGAACTCCGGCAAGTTAGCAGATAGGTCGGTTGTCCGTTGCATCCAGGTGATGAATGGCTTAGCCCTGTGCAAACTTCGCCCATTTGGCTCCACCTTTTTGGTCTTCAGCGACTACATGACCCGCTGCGTCCAACTGCCTTTGGAATGGTGATCTGAATCCATTGGTGGTGAGTTGAGCAACATAATACAATGGTCATGAAAGAACGCATGTATGGACAGTACCCGGCAAGCAACCGTTTTCCCACTTTGCCAACGGACCGAGATGATCAATTTCCCCAAAGTGACTAAGATTGATGAGGTATGGTTGGTATGGCTGGTTAACCACAGCTAGATATCCAATCGGATGAATAGTTGACTAGCTCAATTTTACCGGGTTAACGCTTGAGACACACCGTGGTTTCAGCTTTTGAAAACCCATCGAGTCCAAAATGATGTGCAATCCAAGTTCTCGCATCTATACACCATTCGTCTTACCCTTCAAATCAATCATTTTTATAGATCTATGTCTATGTCTATCTATTCGATAACATTCGATATTGTCATTGTGTCGATTTCTGATGCTTCATAGGGAACTCATCCCGAAAATTGCAGGGTTTACATGCCCAAGGTGTACATCCCCTAAGCACAGAGATCCGAGTGCGAGACACGCTAGTGGACACAGACGCTGCACAGGAGGCCTCCAATCCGCATGGCTGCGATCATGGAGGTGCCCAGCATTTTCATCTTCACCCACGACTCCATTGGTGTCGGGGAAGATGGGCCAACACATCAACCGGTGGAACAACTCTGCTTCCTTGGCCTAAACTTTTACGGGGGAATGGAGTGCGAATTGAACCCAACAAAGTGGCATGGGAGAACCAGATCTGGTTGGCAATTTTGGGGTCAAAACTGTTTGGAGCCACAAACGGGACTGGGGATTGGCTGGGACATATATCATAAGCAGTGTGGGTACCCTTTGCCTGGGAGAAACCCAAGCTATGATTTCTCTTGAGTCAAACATGCGGTTTCCAAAAGGCTGCTGGTCTGGGCGGCAAAATTACCGCCTCCTGACCAGTGAGGAGGGTGATCCTTTTTACATGGTTTTGTTCTGCAACCTTTTGTGTTGGGGGCTTTGTGGTTGAAAGTTGTTGAAAGGCGCTGGTTCAACACTGCAAAACAAGTGGGAGTACCTCCCAAAAAAAAACACTAAGTGACTAAGTCCCGCTTGTGAACACAGCACTTTTTGGTCCAGAGGTACCGCAACGTACCAGGCCCATCCAGGCCCCCAGCAAAACCTTAGGGGTGGCTCCTCTGGCGAAACCTTGGCCTCCACCAGGCTCCGGCCCTGAGGTTCCCTCCGCTGCATTCCTGGGCTCTCGGTTTTCAGACCGGCAGATGCCAACGAATGTGTGGAGATGTGGAAACACATCGACGCTTGGGAACGATTGGCATATGGCATATGAATGCATATGATATCATATGATTATTTTATTCATTTTTTGTTGCCCCCCAATCGTTGTACATATTGAGGATCTTGTCATTTTTGACCGGGTTGTGCTCCTGAGACTTCCAGATCATTTCTGCAATGGAAATGTGTTCCACAAAGATTCCATGGGTCTCCCATGGGTCTCCCATCGGTCTCCCATCGGTCTCCTTGGTCAGCCTGGTGTCTCCTCTGCGCCAGGTTCCTTTGCAGGACGAGCCAGTGGCCGTGGTCTTATCGCGCCAGGCACTACCCACGTTGGATCGACAGAAGTTCAGCTCGGCCAGTGGCCTTCACAGGGGAGGCCCAAGGGGACCGAAGGGAACAGACCCGACAGGGCCCGACAGGGCCGGACAGGGCCCGACAGGGTCGTGAAGTCCGAATTGATCGTTCCAAGAGGTTCCAAGCAAACATTTTCTGTTGAACAGGAATATGTTCATTATGTTCATAAAGAAATTTTGGCAGAAGATTGTGGAAAAACTAGGAGATGAGTCCCACCATTAGGATAGGCCCATAGCAAGAATGACAATCGCAAACTGTGGATGCCGAATATGCTAGGAGGCCTCCATGTGGGTCCCACTCCAAGTTGGTTCCCGAATTCCAAGTGAAATCCGATTTGCCACTTGTAGATTGAAGTCTAAAGCCTTGGGTCGGGTCACTGCTGGAGCTTCCCATGGTTCCATTTCCCTCATTATCCACCAAGTTATTGATCACGTCTTAGCGAGCAACACTTTACAGTAGAAGGAACTTCGGCTCGTAGTGCAAAGTGCATGGCACGTAATTAGGCATATGTACCTTGGGTACCAGCATACAGATCCAATACACGTCTGTGATTTTGAATGTTTTCAGCATATGTGTTAAGTCTGTGAAGTTACAAAAACAAAGACGTCGTCCGTTTTTGAACAGAGACTCATTCTTTGCCCTCGCCCACATTGTGTGCACCCCTGCGAACATCCTTGAAATGCTTCTCCTGGGCTCTGCCTTAGCGCAGGTTATATTCTGCACGACTCGAGTAGCAGCTGTCCTGATTTGATCTTGATGGCCTCTGGCTCTGAGGCACCGTCGGTTTGGGCGAAGTGTGGATCCCACCTGGTGGAACTCGGGGGCAAAGCACTTTTTAAAAGTATGATTTACTATGATATGATATGATTGTGTTTTTTTTCTTGCAAGAACTTTGAACCATTTTACACCTTATCCTTCCTTATCCAGGATTTTATAGATGTCAACTTCAGGCAGCTCCGCAACAAAATAGCACATTTGATTGGATTAATTTTGAGTGAATGCACTGATTGCATTGACAAATTGTATATAATTGTATATTCTCACCATTTCTCACCCTATGATTCTGTGTCACACTTAGTATCTTGGTAGATTCCACTTCAAATTCATGTTCATGTGGTCAGTTTCATAGTCTGTAGGCATGTCGTCACTTATTAAATCTCCATATGAAGTCCTGATCTTCAGGGTTTGAACTTGCTACTTCAGGGTGGTTCCCGCCGGTTTGAAATTCAACTTTGGTTGATTGGTCAAGTCATTTCAAGATTTTCAAGTCCTCGTCTCCTGTGATTTCATGACTTTGGTGCGTCCGAGAGGTACATCTGATGTTGGAGGCTCACGAAGTGCTGAGCCAACAAGGGGTCAATGTGCGATCAGCTCCTCGGCAAACGAGACCAGGATCATCACGGGACCGTGAAAAACGCATCGACATGATCGACATGTTTGGCACGTTGTCCTAACTTTGCACAACTTTACATGACTTTGACATACTTTGACTCACCTGTCTCAACTTGTGCTCAGGTTAGTATGCCTTGCCTGGAACTCTTCAAGATGCAGCCCCAGGCAAAGTTGGACAAGTTGTGGCCAGTCATGGCCAGTGCAAGTCACCTGGCATATTTCGCTGGCCCCGGTGCAGGACTACATCGACGAAGTCCTTCCTAGGCAGTGCCGCGCCCGCGTCTCCATTGAAGCCGGTAGACACCATAGCTGGGGATCGCTTATTGGAATAGAATCTTGGACTGAGCGATCCCCAAAGCTGAATGGTCACCTGATGTGACTGGGAAGTCCTCAAGAAGTGGGACCACCAAATTGTTTGTGGGCACTTGATCAGCCGCCATGGCATGTTTTCACCCAACCGTTTCAATGGAACTGGACCGATTCCAATCAAACAAATCTGCATATAGATATTGCGCTACAGCCTTTTTCCAGTGAGGCATGACATGGCCATTTGTGCCACACCCAAGAGTAGCCGGATCAAGACCATGCCCCCAACACGGCTCACAAGAGTAGTTCACCCATATCACCCAAGAAATTTTGACTAACTACAGCCCATTCAGTGGATCGGGGTTTGTTTTAGTGCGAGACTCAGACTTACAATGAATGTGAATCCAACTTCGACTCAAGACTTGGTTGCTTACATCATGGTCCGTAGTGTCTCAATGTTCGTTGGCTATAATATGCTACAATACTATGGGTTCTTGGTGGCCCCCCCTTATGTTGTCTCCATTTGTGATTTGTGATGCTCTGCTCGGGTGCGGTGAAAGCTGAGGATGGAGAGCACGTTGGCATGATCTCCTTTGGAGCTTCCGGTCCAAGCACTTTGGTGAGAGACCCTGGGTACAGCTGCAAGCTGCAGCCTTACCATGGGGATTTGGAATGATCTGGATTTGGATAGTTGTTTGTTCTTGATCACATCCTAAGATGATTTGAAATGATTTGAACAAATCCCTCCACCACCCCAAATGAAAGGAATCCTTTCACAAACCATCCTTAAGTGGCAAGGAGTGTTGATATTTTCTTAGACACATGCCTCGATATACCAACGTCCTCCGTTGGATTGCCTTGTCAATGCTCTGAGGGCCCACATCTCTGCATGGCCCTTCCCACTCAAAACGGGTGAAACTCCCATTCTCCGAAGCTTATAAGAACGTCGTCCACAAATATCTCAATATCTCATATGAATTCATATGACCTCATCATCCCTTGGTTTGCCAAGCTGCCGGAGCTGCCGGTTCTGCCCAGGCAAACGTGTGCAGGAGGACTGTGCTTTGATCTTGCCTTTCTTCGTCAAGCGGAAATCCGGGTCTTTTGCCTTCTGCCTTCAGGGGCGACACTGCTAAAGTCACAAAGATGTTTTTTTCCTTTTTTTTCAAGGTCCACTGGGGTTCTTACTATTGCAGATGCTTGGCGCTAGAGGATCCAGCCTTCATTGCAGGTCAACACAATGCTTTGGCCGTAGGCTCGCCACTGAAGTGCTGAAACTGTGAAACTGTGGAGGAATACGGCTTCACCAAGCAGGCCGTGGTCAACGCGGCAAATCGAGTGATGAGTGGCCGACCTCAGGAAATGTCGACGCGAGCCTTAGGAAGCTCGGCAATAAAAGGTTGCGTGGCATGTGTGGTTGTTGGATTGGGGGCAACATGGGGCAACCCACGGAAACCATGGGAAACCATGGGAAACAATGGGAAACCATGGGAAACCTGGGTTTGAGATGGTTTGAGAATGTGTGAGAGGTACTAGTAGTTAATATATCACATATATCCTTGAATGGCAGCAAGATGTATCAAGATCGCATTTTGGCCCGTGATGTCCTCATTGAAGATTTGTAGATCTTGGACAACACCTCCTGCAAGATTGGTAGGTGAGTTAACCACTAGCAACCATGATGATCCTTGCTTGTTAGCTCAATTTAGCTCAATATAAGGGGATGAGAATGGAACGAGGAGTCAATATAAGGGAATCAATCTTTAATTTTCGCACCATTATTCAAATTCGTTGCAGGAGTTAAAATCAAATCGCAGATTTGTCACCAAAATTTAGGTTGAATTTCACTCGCTGCTCAGCCTCCTCCGACAACATCCCAGCATGCTCCGACCACGAAACGGGCGAAACGGGCGAAACGGGCAAAACGGGCCAAGGACTTTTGAGTTGGAAGAAGCGAAGGCTTTCCAAGTGAGAACTTGCAACAGCCTTAGCGACTTTGGTCGAGGAACCTGGGCTACGGCTACCACTTGTGCTGCATTAATAATTCACCCGGCCGGGTACAGAACAGGTCGTCGTCCGTGGAGGACCCCATTTTGAGAACTTAAGAAGGGAGTTCCATCGAAAACTTAAATTGACAAAACATGACAAAACATGACAAAACAGGTTTCCAGACCGGACCCATATTCCAGAACTTTGGGGACAGATGGGTCGATACATGGGCCGCGCCAAGAATCTCTTACAGAGTGCGAGGGCAGCTGTAAAGGCTCGTCCAATTTTTGTGTCCCATTGTGGACCCGATGGCTTCCCCTTCGGGGACCAAATGGCTTCCCTCAGCGAAGATGACATATGTCTGCAAACTTGATCGGCCAATCATCCATGTCTGCACAACAGTTTGATCGCAAAACTTCCCACATACGAAGCAGCTGAAACTTGGGCATCGACTCGGCATCGACCTCTTATAAAATCACTCGACTGGTTGTTTAAGGTTCACAATAAGGAATTCCTACAACACTTATTGGCAATTGCTTCAGAGTTCTCTGCAGAAAGTCATGGCCGGACAATGGTATTTGTACGCTCTTTATACGTTTACACAGTTTGCGTATATTTGTGCGTATCTGTATGTGTACGCACACACATACATAATATATGTATATAATTATATATATATTACATTATATTACATCATATTACAGCAAATGAAAGTGCATTGCTTCACTGGTTGGTTATAGGTTTCAAACCATCCACACGTCACAGGAACACATTTTGTCAGTCTATTTCACTGTTGGGAGCCCCAGCTCTTGCTGTGTAAAGATCAGGGCTGTCACCCAGCTCGCACGGGGCATGCGAGCGTGCCGCGTGCCATGAAAAATGGACCTGCAGGATGGAATGGGGTTGCCAGAGAGGTGTGTTGCGCTTTCTCTCAAGATGGATAGAATTGGAGAGAATTGGATAGAACGATAGAAAACAACCAATAGTCAGTTAGGTAATTTGGAGGTACGCCATGCAACATGGGAAGATGGATATCAAGATATTGAACATGGTCGAATGATGTCGAATGGTTAGCTCTGTCCAAGGGGCATGTTTCAAACATGGCCGAGTCGCATGGTTAGATGACCACCGTTTTGGACCTGTCTACCTCACGATAAGGGGGTGACCATTTGGAGTCTGGGTCACGGTAGGACCTTAGGCTACAATGTATTACAATGTAAAATAAGTTGTATAAAGAGATAAGGAGGCTTTAGCTGCTCAATGTCGTGTGATCATTATCCTCAATCACACAACATCACAACTCATAGAGAAAACCTGCTGAAGATGTCTGTTTGGCCCCAAGGCCCACAGATGTTGCGTTCTTTGCAACACGTTGCCCACTTTTGAGACACACCCTTGGAGACAGGAGAGCTATGTCAGCACCTGTGTAGATTTTTTTTCATAAAATTGAAATGCTATCAAAGTCATCTCCTTCAGCTTTCTTCAGCTGGTAAATCTACTTTGCTCCTTGCAAGACCGCAACACCTAGCTTGACCAGGCACGTGATCTTCGTGTGCGGATGCGGCAGCAAATGTGAAGGGTATCTATCCTGAGCGGTGACTTCTACTTGCGACTTTGAGAGTCCAAACCCATGGCATGCGGCATGCCAAGGCAAAACCAACATTAACCAAGAGCGTACCAGAGTCAAATCGTTTTGATCTCCGAGGATATCTCTAGAGTCAGACATATATATATAATACAGTATTATATATATATATGATATATGACACACGCACACACACACATATGTATATATATATATTATAATGATACACACACATATATAATTATGTGGGAACTCTTCAGAAGGACATTGGCTATCCTACAAATCCAAAGCAACAGTTTGCCTGGACGGCTGGACGACAGCAGCTTTTGTGTGTGAAAACACACTGATGCCTCCCACCTCTGAGGGGCCTGACTTGGGGATCTAGGACAAGCAGGTGGAAATGGGTTGAAATGGTTGGTAATGGATCGTCTCTCAGTCTATGAAATGAATCAGTCCAATATCGCGAATATTTCAAGAAACCTGTTCCAAACCAGAAATGAACTTCTGATGCAAAGTTGGCGATCAATGACATCTATCGCACAAACAAGGGGGGCTGACTTGGAGTGGTAAGCCGCTTCCTCACCATGGTTAGATTTACGAGCTATCCATTTCATGCAATTTCCATCTCCCGATCGATCCCAACAGCCCATACAAAAACGAAAACCCAACCATCTCCACATCATATCTCCACGTGCAAACGAGTGACCACAGCCAAGCTGTGCAGTTTCTCGGTCCTGACGGTGGCTTGAGCCCGGAATGACATGACCAGTTTTTTCGAAGAGAGTCGGGCAACAGAGTGGCCTGGACCGTTTTGTTTTTGTTTGGGAGGGAATCCAGCTGCACTGACCAATCACTTTAAGGATCTTTTAGCTTCTTTGAGCTTTCAAATAAGACATCAGAATCAGGGACGTTGGGACCAAGCCTCACCCGATTTGCCATGCGACCACCACTGGTTGCTTCGACGGAGAAGACCTGGAAAAGGCGGCGGCAGCGATGTATAGCGATGTTAGACGGTTTGGATGGATGTTTTCCAAGGTGATTTGGCAGGTTGGCTACCTGTTGCGGGATTGTAATATATTGTAATTACGTAATGCTAATTTTAACTGCTAGTTGATCTACTTAGCTATGTGGCATCATGCAACAGAAATGCATATGCTTTGCTTATGGATGTCCCAACCCTCCACCCAACTGACCAAGAGCAACCATGACTACTTCGGATTGGGCATGCTGGCATCCAGGGAGAGGCATCGAAAACAATGTTGACAGTAACATACTGTTTCAATCTTTTTATATCTTGTTATATTCTTCAATCATCCGGCTTCTCCACTTAGCCAAGACATGTTCATGTGCTTTGCCTCAGTGGACCAACCAGACACCGACTGCTGTTTTGGTTCTTCAGCCGCACCACTGTTAAGGTGTTGGACCATCAGAATGCAGAGATGTGCTGAACCTCAGGCAGCGGTTCCCATTCTAGCCACATCAACTTTGCTGCAGCCTACCAAGAGACCACACGTGCAGCCGCAACAAGTTCCCAATTGCAAACCCTACTTGCTGCTGTTTTTAGGCCCCCTTGCAGCCTACAGAAATCAAGAAAACATGTTCGACCACTCGGGTCACCTAGACAATGTTTATGGGTCGGGTAAGTAAATTCCCCCGTCATTTCCCCCGTTCCATTGAAATGTAGTCCTGTATGCAAAAGGGACGCAAGTTGAAAAGCACAAGGTGATACTAGGCAGCTGGCAATAACATACTCGTACATGCCCAACATCCAACAAATTCATACTTCCACAACCACTTCCTATGTGAACAATTCGCCAGTTTCCCCACTTTCCACTTTTAAGATCTTTTAAGTGTCGGGCCTGTCGGGCCTGAATCCGGGTCCCAAAGTTGTTATCACTCAGACGTTACTGTCTTTGGCACGCGACAGGCCAGGGCGGGCCAAGGATGGCGGAGGCGAATTTCTTGTTTTCACTAAAAAGATGAAACATCTGAAACCTATTATAAACCGCCATAAACTTATTATACTTCTTAATACTTATTACTATTATTGATATTGTTACTAATATTATGAGTATTGATATCAATATGTTTAGTATCAATATTATTATTACTATTCCTATGATATATATATATATATAGATATACATATTGCACAACTAAATAGGTGAACACGAATTCTTTGTTTCTCATATTGCATAAAGCTGCAATTGGATCCTATCACATGATTTCCCAATTTTATTGCCTCGCGAAAGGAAAACTTGTCAATTGGCATGTGATTCTACAAGGGTGCAGACTAATACATGCTACATTAAGGACTGTGTTCGCACCTCGGGGTCTCAGCCAGATTTTGGATCTAAAGTGGAATAGCCCATGCGCACCATTCTGCCAAGTTGGTATTGGTTTGCAAGATACCCCAACACACAGGCTTCCGGCTTCCGACGGTGTTGTACCTGTGCTTGTCGGCACAGTAGGCCTCATGAATGCATTGTAAATCTGCGTCGTGGGTTTAGATGTTTGACATCTTCAAAGGAGGGCGGACCCACAGGCTGCAAACACTTCAAGACGCATATACAGTAGACGCATCATTTCTGTTTGGCAGGTATCATCATTCTAGGGTAGAATCGAAGACTACAAGACAGTTCCTTGCTAGCACATTTTGACCCAGAGAGGGCAATCGTTTGATCACAGCAACATCCATTGACATCCATTGACTATGATTGAGATAACATCTATGATTATGATTATCTATGTTATGATTGGCTGACAATTGACAGCACATGGTGTTTCAAATTTTGTGCCAAACTCTTGAAGACAGCATCGTTTGTCCCATGCTGTAGAGAGCGCGGGCCCATAGGTCAAGATGATCGGGCGCATGCGAGAAGGCATGAGCAACCTGAGGTGCCAGAGGGAGAGAAGGCTAGGAATTTGGTGGACAAATAAGTTTTATTTTTTCTGTCTTATCTTATCTTATCTTATATCGTTTATGGATTATTTTTTTCCCGTTTTGTCTTTTTTCTTTGGATTTATGTTTCCCTGCGTCTTTGCTTTTCTGCTTCTCTGCTTTTTGCTTTTCTTCTTTTCCCTGCTTCTCTGCTTCTCTGCTTCTTTGCTTTTCTGCTTCTTTGCTTCTCTGCTTCTCCACTGTTCTGCTTCTCCGCTGTTTTCTGTTTTTTTGCTTCTCAAGCCTAAATAAACCCCACGATGCATAATAGAAATACGCCCTAAACCAACCCTATTAAATAAACCCAACACCAACCCCCAAAAAACTAAAACAACTTTAAGTAAACCCTGAAAAATACCTAAACTCTGAAACTTACCCCAAACAGAGCCTAAACCAACCATAAATAAACCCAAACTAACACCCCCCAAAAGAACAAAACCAACCTTAAGTAACCCCTAAACAAGCCCAAACTCTGAAACTTACTGTACCCTAAATAAACCCTAAACCAGCCCTAAATAGATCACACACCCATCCCAACTAGATCTTAAACCAAGCCTAAATACGCCCTGAACCAACTCTAACTAAAACCTAAACCAACTTTGAATAGATCCTACATAAATCTTGAACCACGCCTAAAGAAACCCTAACCAATCCTGCATAGATCCTAAACCAACCCTAAATAAGCCCCAACCCAACCCTAAAGCTAACCCTAAAAAAGCAAAAGCAACCATAAAAAACAAAACCAACCCTAAACCAATCCGAAATAAACACTAAAACAAACCCTAAATGGACCCTAGTCGCAAGATACCATCCAACATGAAAAGTTTGAGCACCAACATGTTGCAAATAACATGGAAAATGAGAGGTTCGAACTTCAAAATGTTGCAATACCGTTGAAATGGCAGCTTCCAGCTCCAAAATGCTGCAAATTGCAAGGAACACGGACAGAACAGCAGATCCCAAGAAAAAACAAAACGGAAAAAAACATAATTCCCAAAACAATTCCGGACCCTTATTATTTTCAGGTTGTTTTATTTTGCCGGTGGCTTCAGATATGCGCAAGCATTTGGGGTGCAGGGGAATGAAACCGCCAACTTTTTGGAACCATCCTTGAGGGCTTAAATGGTCATTGAAATGGTCAACACATGTCAACACCAACAGGTAGAGCAAATCAACTTGCACATTGAGTCTTTGGGTGGTATTGATATTGAAATATATTGAATAATGTTGCATGATATTCTATGATAATGCATTTACTACATTTACATTAGTCGTGATTCCAGTCAGAGTGCGCCTCCCGGAGCTAGCTGCAACAGGAATTTGCCAGCTATGGGCAGCTATGGGCAGCTATGTATTGTTACGGGTCAGATAGGTCAGGGGTCGAGATGTCGTCAGGAAGAAGGATACGCCCCTCGAGGCTCAGCTGAAAGAGGCAGGGCACGGTGGGTTGAGAGTTTTTTGATGTCTTGCGCTTCGGATCCTTTGTGGTACCCCTTGGGAACCAAACTCAAACATGGTTGTATCGTGCTGTATCGTGCTGTATCCAGCAAGTTCCATGCCGCATTTGTTGCCGCCGTGACTAGTGACTAGTGGCTACCGGGTCGTCGTTCCCCGCATATCGGGTGCACCCTCGACATTGGCGAGGCAACATCCCGAGAGAACTGGGGAGTGCCCAACACCACGTTGCAGGTGGGGCCACAGCTTTGACGGGCCAGAGATGGGTCTATGGTCTATATGTATCCTACATATGTCTAGGCATATGTCTACATACTGTACTATGGGTCGCAGATGCAAGCTTTGAAGAGATGGGATATGTGGCCTCCAGATCTTGGGCGTACAACCTTTCGACACCTTCAACACAAACGAGGAAAAACGAGGAACCTAGGGTTTTGGAACTCTCGTGTTTACTAAGAAGACATGTATCAAGACTATCCAAGACTCCACTTGGGCAAACTTGACACCCTCTGGCCAGGCGATTGCACATGCGACACAAAATATGGCAACTTGGCCCAACTTGGCCCAACTTGGCGCCGTGGCAGTCGGATTCAACTTGTTATGTAACATGTGTAAAAATTGTATAAATTTGTAACATACTTCCTCGAGAGCACACTTTGGTGGCCGGCAAGGCCTAGGTCTGGGAATCGGGGCTGAGATGAAGTTGGGCTCCGGAAATTGTCGGACACACGTTCCAGCCTTTCCAAATCCTTACAGGTGATGGGATCATTCCTATCCTGGTAAGTTCATTTAAGTTGTTGTGGACAAGAGACAGTTTCGACATGCTTCAGAGGCTATGTTAAGTATGGTTTCCTGTGAACCGCATTCGTAAAGGACACAGGACATTATCCAATTCCTTCTAATGAAAAGGAGCAAGTTGCAACGATACTGACGAAGTAATGTACCTCTCATATTTTCTAAGAGAGCCACATGACTTCAATTGCTCGGCAGCAAGGAAGACAATGATGTCATCATGGCTTTCCTGTGGAAGGTTCTGCAGGAGATTGGATGATGGTTGTGAGTGACCAGTCTTGTCAGATTTTGAAGCTGCAGGAACGGTAAATCATGACAAATCACAGAGAAACAATACATAGGTCGAAACACAAGAAATTCTTTTCACGGGTTGATCTTTGGCCACTGTTGACTTGCACATCGCCTCTGTGATTGGACGGCGACAGATTGGATCTGATTCAAATATTCATCATATTAATCATATCTCATCATTCTGGTATGGTTCCATTTCGTTCAGGTTCTCTTTCATTCTATGCTAGGCATGATTGCCCATGTCTTGAGGCCAATCATGGCCAATCCAACGATGCCTTCGTCATTGGTCAAGTTGTGATGGTTGTTTTCCAAACCAAGATGAGCTCGTTTTTTTTGGAAATAGCAAGGTGTTCCTCAGATTTGGAGGTCGCATAAATTGCTTGTGAGTGAATTATCCAATGGTGCTGTATGGGTATGGCAACTTCATGTTTGCATAGCAGATATATAACTATATATAACTGATATATTATATTATTCTATTCTATTATATTATATTATATTATATTATAATATATTATATTGTATTATATTACATTATATTATATTATATTAAAATTATATTATATTATATTGTATTATATTATATTATATTATATTATAGTATAGTATATTATAGTATAGTATATTATATTATATTTCATTATATTATATTACATTATAGTATAATATAGTATAGTATATTATATTACATTATATTATGTTATATTATAGTATAATATAGTATATTATATTATATTATAGTATAGTATATTATATTATAGTATATTATACTATATTATTTTATACTATATTATATATTATATATTATATATTATATATTATATATTATATATTATATATTATATATTATATATTATATATTTTATATTATATATTTTATATTATATATTATATATCGTATATTATATATTATATATTATATATTATATATTATATATTATATTTTATATATTATATATTATATATTATATTATATTGTATTATATCATTTCATATGATATGATATTATATTATATTATATGTTATGTTATGTTATGTTATGTATGTTATATAGCAGACATTTCATGACTACAGGAGAAGAAGGACAAAGAATGGCGTCGGATCGTCAAGGCCCTTGCCTTGATCGAGGCGATGCAGTTGGCGCAACGGGTCCGCTCACACTGCAAAAACCAAGAAATGGGCTAAGCATGGCCAATGCAAAAACGAAATAAAACGAATGCGAAGAGAACGGCCAAGAATTGTGACTGATCCAAAGGATAAACCCCTGGTGTGGTTGTGGGCTTCGAGTTGATTTATACATTTATACAGCGAATCATTCAGAAGTCCTACACTGGTGGGAGGCTTTGGAAGAACTTCAATCACTTTTCCCTGGTAGCAAAAATATCTGAACCATCCTGTGCTATCAGTATTTCTTTGAACTCTCCTTAGTTGGAGTTATACCTGGACCTCAATCATTGTCAATCATAGCCTAAGCATTTACCATCCACTGGCATCATCCGCGGTGGGGATAGGGGCCATTCAAGACATTGAAACCTACTGAACCAATATAGGGCTGAAATGCTGTAGATAGTGTGACGCATATCCAAGCAGGAGATACTGGAATTACATGTGTTTTATTTAAAAGGCACGATGCACGATGTTGGCGGATATCCAAACATCGATCCGGTTAAGTGGAGGCTGGTCAGGGTTCATGGTCAGCGATCCCAGCCTGAACCTCCGGTGCGTGCTTGAAATGTCCTCAATATCTAGAGGCGTGAACCCTTGGACTAGCTAGCCATTGACTAAGTTCAGAGTTTGTTTCCAAAGAGTTTCATACAGGTTGAGCTTATATTATAAATGGAACTTCAAGGTTGAGGTGGTTTGCCCGATATTTTCCTCTTCAAAAATTGCAAAGTTTTGGTCTTTCAGTCTTTCAGCCATTGAATTCCAGGGATAGGATCCAACGATGTCGCAACTGTGGGATCCCACTTCGCCTGCAGATGATCCTGAAGCACGGCAGCGAACGAGCGATCCAGGAGAGTTGGTTGTGCCATGTTGTGCCCTTTGTTAGGGACAATCCATGGGCCCGTACACGAGATACAGTGTTTGTTCCTGGTTGTTCCTGGTTGTTCGATTATTTGCGTGTCTGTAAGGTCCCAAATTACCATTGATGGAGGTGGCAAGTTACTCAATTGTCACGATCTCTTCACGAATGTCACTAGAGGCTCTAGAGGCATGGCCCAGGATGGGACAGATCCTTTTACAGGTCCTTTTGTTCCGTGCACACCGTGCAGGTGGATTATATCTATATAACTCTATCGTCTATCACGCTTGAAATTCTCTCGGGCGCGCTTGCCACCTTTGATGGCCTGGAAGTATATTGGACAGTCTGTGTGTGTGTGCGTATGTGTTAACCTAGAATTTGGATGAATTTGGTATCCCACGTACCGGACACCACATGTCTTTTCACACCTATGTAATTATCAACATCATGATCATCATGCTGGCCACCAAATTTCCTGATGTTTTTCCTGTGTATTCCGCTGGGTACCGGTTGGATCCATCGCTTGTGCGTCTATCCGTGCTCCCCAGAGGACATTCGAAGAGATGCCTGGCGGATCCAGCTGGGGAGCTTTGACATGGATGGAAAACACGTTTGAACAATATGGAGATATATTGAGTATGATATTCTGAAATTCTGAAAGATATTCTGAACATATCTGCAGGATAATTGAAGCTGTTGGTTGCGTGAGGCATGGGCATGTTTGGTGATGACTTTGATAAGTGATTTCGTGTCATCGAAAACCACTTTCTTGGTGGCAACAATATTTGGCAGCTCCGAGGAAAGCCGTGGGTAGTGGGTGGTTCGATGACTGCATGGAAAAGGAAAGCATCAGCCAAGGATTTGCAAAGTCTTGAGTCCAATAAGAGTCCAATAAGAGGATAATTCCATTGGAGGTCAGTTTAATTTTCAGGGATTTTGCTTTATGATAGGGAACTATATCCAGCATCCCTCAGAAGGAGAGCTCAGCGGGGGTCTTTGGATGACAAGGATGTTCTCATCATGGATCAGATCTATCTGCAACAGGAAGATTGGTGATTATATATTGGGAAGATGTTGTATGTATATATATATATATACATAGAGATATAGCTCTATGACTGGGCTGGTGCATTGGTTGACCACTTTGCAACCAGGCATACTGGTGGCTAATGGTTTGGAATGGTTTGGAACTCCTGGCCATGTTGAGGAATGGTCAGTGCCATACCCCGAGGCAGTGGAAAGAATTCCGCTATATGGAGGAGGGCAAGGACGGTGCACCACGGAGAAGCGAGGTTCAGATGTCGAAATTTTCGGACAGATGGTGAGATGGTGAGTCCTGGGCTGATCTGAACTGGTCTGAGAGAATTCAAACAGAGAATCTCTTCCTTTTGGAGATCGTCCTTGCGGACGAGATTTGTCAGTTATGTTGCACTGACAAATGGATGCATGTGGCGAAATGCGCCAGAGATCGGTTCGACGATTCTAGAAAAACGAGATTACTGAGATCACCATTGGAAGGCTATTTGATGTTATTTGCATCCTATGAAATATATAATATATTGACAATTTTGAAAATACTGAAATATATGAGAAGCGGGATGCATGATGCAAAATGCTGGGAGAAAGTTGCTGCAGGACGTGGGATCTGGAATCCGTTCCAAGGTGGGTCCTGCGCAGAACAAACTTTGAGTCAATGGGCAGTCAATAGCAGCGGAAGTCTATCCGCGACATGGTATAGGAACTCGGGAATGGTATATGATGTATGTGTTGCTATTTCCTTTAGAGCCGATGCGTTGAGCTGTCCCCAAGGAAGGAACGATTATATTGTCGGGGCACAAACCCTCCCAAAAAGCAGCTTACTTGCCATTGCCAGTTCATGCTTAAGGATAATTGTAGAAAAATATGGGGGCAAGTGACAAGCGCCTTAATTAAGCACTGGCCTTTGAACATTTCAAGACCATGAAACCCTTGTGGCCTCAATGGCCAGTGGTCGCAAGTGGCAACGAGACGTTGCCATCGTCGCCAGGCCAGCTCCATCCTGGAGATGCTGTCGGATGAGGAGCTCCTGAACGAGGCGCACGGCTGGAGGGATGAGGATCGAGATGGAGCACATCGAGCGATGTCGAGCGCGCCCAAAGGGGTAAAACACACAAATAACACCATCATTATGCCATCATTCAATATTATAATTCAAGATCATTCACTATCATTCAATATTAAACACTGAATTTAGTGGTCTAGATCTTCAGTAGGGTGCCAAGCGCTTTGATCCTTACCCATCTAGACAGTGTCCAGACACGAAAGGAAATGGGAAGCAAGTCTTTGCAGGCATGCTCACTTCTCTGAGAATCCGTTTGATGACTGTTTTAATCCTGTTTTTTGCCATAAATCTAATGAGAAGAAATTATACCCAGCAATGTAAGACTCAACTTTCTTGTGGGGTCTCTAAGATTCGACACACAACCATATGTTGTTTTCAATTGGCGCTTGTCCTCATTTTTGCTGGATTTTTGTCCCTGACCTCCTCATCTTCGGAATGGTTAATCTAAGGGAAGCATGCTTAAGTGCTTGTTGTTTTTCCTAAGCATTTTCTTGTTGTCTTTCCCTCCTTGGTTTGCGCTGAAAGATCACCTTTGGATCCTTTAGTGTGGAACGATCACCTTTAGTGACCATGTTGGCAGATGGCTGATACAGCCAACCGGTTAACAGTCTTTTCGCGTGGAAATGTACACTATATATACGTAATCAAACTTGTCATGCGAAGCTCCTGCGACCTGATGATTGAAGATCGCTCTGGACTGATCCTTGTGACATAAGGCGAGATACAGTACTGATCAGTACTGTACAAATTTACTTGATTCAGAAGATCCCATCGCATACCATCTCAGCGACAGCATTCTGGTCGTCGCACCGTAGGATATTGTAGGATTGCAGAGGGTAATGTCTGGTACTCGTATCGTGCTAGCGGCTTAGCTCCTGTGGGAGTCGGGCGGAACGCGAGGAGAAGGAGAAGGCGGAGAACCTCAAGAAGAAGATGAGTGTTGCCGGTGTCGGTGGCAGCGCAGCCAATGTGGCAGTTGGGTGCCTCAGCCTGGCCGAGGGTTCATGTGACCTTTTGTTGACGTATCATTGCTCTATGCTAATTACTGAACTTGCTTTTTGGACAGTGTCATTTGGATGGTTCAAGTAGAGGAAGAGTTTGGACCCATAGCCACCTCAAACCAGGTAGGTGTTTCATGGTGTTTCTGGAAACTCATTTGGTGAAGACGCCTGTGTGGAACGAAAGAGCGGCCCGTGTGACATACCGGTCACCATTTGGGCAGTCGGTGGGTTGTGTGTAAACCCCTTGGAAGCATTGTGATTAAGGGGCTACGCCCCCTGCCGCCGACCCCTGGGAGAGAGGGGGAGTTTACACATACGTCACTTCCCGAACCTACAAGAAAACTATATGGGTACGAGTCAAAATACAAGGTATGGATCAAGGCGCCAAAGCTACACACGATCCATACCCCCCGATCCATACTTTGATCCATACCCTGTGATATTGCATGATCCATACCTTTGATCCATACCCTTGATCCATACCCCTGATCCATACCCCTTTCTCGTTGAAGAAAGACTGATGCTGGCCTTAACGATGCTTTTTATCCTAATATATACTGCTTCTGGTTCTCGTACTGCTACTCCCATCGCTACTACCGTTGCTTCTACTGCTGCCTCCACTGCCTCCGCTGCTGCTGCCGCCGCCACTACTAGTGATTATCCTTCTCGCTGCTGGTGCTGGCTCACGTTCTCCGTGTGCTTCGGTAGTTGGACAGATGTAACTAGTTGACTAGCTACTAGCAATATTGCAAGTGCACCTTGGAGGCTTGTAAGACCGGTTCTACTTCCACTAGGTGCTTATTGTACTTCTAGTGGTGCTATGACTACAACTCCTTCTGTTTCTACTTTGCCTGGCACGTGTAGAACTAAAAAAGCATGGTGTCCTGATCCATACCCCGATCCAGACCCGTTCCATGCCTGGTCCATATCCGAACCCAGTCACGCCACAACAAGTGCCAATATGAAAGTTCGAATCTGTTACTACTTCTGCTGCTGCTTCTTGCTCTACTTGTGCTTCTACTTCTACTTCTGCTTGTACTTCTACTTCTACTTTTGCTGCTACTACTACTACTTCTACTACTACTGCTGCTGCTGCTACTATTACTACTACTCCTACTGCTACTGCGACTGTTATTGCTACTGCTACTGCTCCTCCTCCTGCTCCTGCTCCTGCTGCTCTTCCTATTCCTACTCCTGCGCCTACTCCTCCTACTACTCCTAGTTCAACTGCAGCTGCTGCTGCTACTACCATTAGATTATTTTACTGTTATTACTTTGACTCTTACTAGTACTACTGTTACTGCTACTGCTATTTCTACTGCTACTGCAGCTCCTCCTTCTATTGCCGCTACTGCTGCTGGTGTTGTTTTTTTTTTACTGCTCCCTCTACCAGCAGTGGCAACAGTTTTAGCAGCAACAGTAGCAGGAGGAGAAGTAATAGCAGGTAGGAGATAGTAGGAGTATCAGCACAGTTTGTATGCTATGATGAGCCCTTACGAAAGGGTACGGAGCAGGTACGTTACGTAACCACTCCCGATCCATAGTTCGGATCACCGCGGAGCAATCCATACCCGATCGCACGCCCAACGGAAAGCAGTGTCGCACCGACCGATGGCCCGTGCAGAACTGATCACAAACGGAGGCTTCACCCAACAGCAGAACTCCGAGGGACGGATGCAGCAGAGCCGCGGCCCCAGCCGCCAGGCTTCACAAACGGCGCCTTGGCCACACCAAAACGGCAGGGCCCTGAGGGACGGACCGGGCCTGCCTCCAAAACAGCAGGGCCCTGAGGGACGGACTGGGTCTGCGGGCCACGGGCCCCACTGCCTAACGTTGCTTTCTGAACCTACAAGAAAACTAGCTGTCTGAGCTGTCTTCCAGTCGCCAAAAGCTTCACAAACGGCGCCTTCGCCACACCAAAACAGCAGGGCCCTGAGGGACGGACTGGGCCTGCGGGCCACGGGCCCCACTGCCTAACGTTGCTTTCTGAACCTACAAGAAAACTAGCTGTCTGAGCTGTCTTCCAGTCGCCAAAAGCTTCACAAACGGCGCCTTCGCCACACCAAAACAGCAGGGCCCTGAGGGACAGACTGGGCCTGCGCGCCACGGGCCCCACTGCCTAACGTTGCTTTCTGAACCTACAAGAAAACTAACAGCAGGGCCCTGAGGGACCTTCGCCACACCGCAACAGCAGGGCCCTGAGGGACAGACTGGGCCTGCGGGCCACGGGCCCCACTACCTAACGTTGCTTTCTGAACCTACAAGAAAACTAGCTGTCTGAGCTGTCTTCCAGTCGCCAAAAGCTTCACAAACGGCGCCTTCGCCACACCAAAACAGCAGGGCCCTGAGGGACGGACTGGGCCTGCGGGCCACGGGCCCCACTGCCTAATGTTGCTTTCTGAACCTACAAGAAAACTAGCTGTCTGAACTGTCTTCCAGTCGCCAAAAGCTTCACAAACGGCGCCTTCGCCACATCAAAACAGCAGGGCCCTGAGGGACGGACTGGGCCTGCGGGCCACGGGCCCCACTGCCTAACGTTGCTTTCTGAACCTACAAGAAAACTAGCTGTCTGAGCCGTCTTCCAGTCGCCAAAAGCTTCACAAACGGCGCCTTCGCCACACCAAAACTGCACGGCCCTGAGGGACGGACTGGGCCTGCGGGCCACGGGCCCCACTGCCTAACGTTGCTTTCTGAACCTACAAGAAAACTAGCTGTCTGAGCTGTCTTCCAGTCGCCAAAAGCCTCACAAACGGCGCCTTCACCACACCAAAACTGCACGGCCCTGAGGGACGGACTGGGCCTGCGGGCCACGGGCCCCACTGCCTAACGTTGCTTTCTGAACCTACAAGAAAACTAGCTGTCTGAGCTGTCTTCCAGTCGCCAAAAGCTTCACAAACAGCGCCTTCGCCACGCCAAAACTGCAGGGCCCTGAGGGACGGACTGGGCCTGCGGGCCACGGGCCCCACCTTCGCCACACCAAAACTGCAGGGCCCTGAAGGACGGACTGGGCCTGCGGGCCACGGGCCCCACTGCCTAACGTTGTCGCCAAAAGCTTCAGAAACGGCGCCTTCGCCACACCAAAACAGCAGGGCCCTGAGGGACGGACTGGGCCTGTGGGGCACGGGCCCCACTGCCTAACGTTGCTTTCTGAACCTACAAGAAAACTAGCTGTCTGAGCTGTCTTCCAGTCGCCAAAAGCTTCAGAAACGGCGCCTTCGCCACACCAAAACAGCAGGGCCCTGAGGGACGGACTGGGCCTGCGGGCCACGGGCCCCACTGCCTAACGTTGCTTTCTGAACCTACAAGAAAACTAGCTGTCTGAGCTGTCTTCCAGTCGCCAAAAGCCTCACAAACGGCACCTTCGCCACACCAAAACTGCACGGCCCTGAGGGACGGACTGGGCCTGCGGGCCACGGGCCCCACTGCCTAACGTTTTTCTGAACCTACAAGAAAACTAGCTGTCTGAGCTGTCTTCCAGTCGCCAAAAGCTTCACAAACGGCGCCTTCGCCACGCCAAAACTGCAGGGCCCTGAGGGACGGACTGGGCCTGCGGGCCACGGGCCCCACCTTCGCCACACCAAAACTGCAGGGCCCTGAAGGACGGACTGGGCCTGCGGGCCACGGGCCCCACTGCCTAACGTTGTCGCCAAAAGCTTCAGAAACGGCGCCTTCGCCACACCAAAGCAGCAGGGCCCTGAGGGACGGACTGGGCCTGTGGGCCACGGGCCCCACTGCCTAACATTGCTTTTTGAACCTACAAGAAAACTAGCTGTCTGAGCTGTCTTCCAGTCGCCAAAAGCTTCAGAAACGGCGCCTTCGCCACACCAAAACAGCAAGGCCCTGAGGGACGGACTGGGCCTGCGGGCCACGGGCCCCACTGCCTAACGTTGCTTTCTGCACCTACAAGAAAACTAGCTGTCTGAGCTGTCTTCCAGTCGCCAAAAGCGTCACAAACGGCGCCTTCGCCACACCAAAACAGCAGGGCCCTGAAGGACGGACTGGGCCTGCGGGCCACGGGCCCCACTGCCTAACGTTGCTTTCTGAACCTACAAGAAAACTAGCTGTCTGAGCTGTCTTCCAGTCGCCAAAAGCCTCACAAACGGCGCCTTCGCCACACCAAAACAGCAGGGCCCTGAGGGACGGACTGGGCCTGCCGGCCACGGGCCCCACTGCCTAACGTTGCTTTCTGAACCTACAAGAAAACTAGCTGTCTGAGCTGTCTTCCAGTCGCCAAAAGCTTCAGAAACGGCGTCTTCGCCACACCAAAACAGCAGGGCCCTGAGGGACGGACTGGGCCTGCGGGCCACGGGCCCCACTGCCTAACGTTGCTTTCTGAACCTACAAGAAAACTAGCTGTCTGAGCTGTCTTCCAGTCGCAAAAAGCTTCAGAAACGGCGCCTTCGCCACACCAAAACAGCAGGGCCCTGAGGGACGGACTGGGCCTGCGGACCACGGGCCCCACTGCCTAACGTTGCTTTCTGAACCTACAAGAAAACTAGCTGTCTGAGCTGTCTTCCAGTCCCCAAAAGCTTCAGAAACGGCGCCTTCGCCACACCAAAACTGCAGGGCCCTGAGGGACGGACTGGGCCTGCGGGCCACGGGCCCCACTGCCTAACCTTGCTTTCTGAACCTACAAGAAAACTAGCTGTCTGAGCTGTCTTCCAGTCGCCAAAAGCCTCACAAACGGCGCCTTCGCCACACCAAAACTGCAGGGCCCTGAGGGACGGACTGGGCCTGCGGGCCACGGGCCCCACTGCCTAACGTTGCTTTCTGCACCTACAAGAAAACTAGCTGTCTGAGCTGT